TTCCCTCCGTGGCAAATATTTAAACGTGGACAGTGCACGTTACATGTGCGCGCTACGTGTGTATTCCTCCAATCGTTTCGAATTATACGCCGATTCATATTCGAGTATACTATAACCATCCACTTGTCGATGGATCAAAATATTTACGAACAATCTCGTGAGAGTATATTAGTTGTTGAGTGATGTAATTAAAGTTGCGGATATTTATGCGAATTACAATTATTCTTTCGACAGTGAAATACATTATGGTTTTTTTTTTTTATTTTTTTTTTTTTTTGTCAAGGAGGTTGAAAGAAGGTTGAAGGATCTATAACACGTTAGATTTGGAGAAAGAACTAGATTGTAGAGAATTTTCATCTTTTCAATTTTTATTTTTATTAAAAAAAAAAACGTTTCGATAAAATATTCCACTCGACGTGTAATATAATGAAAACACTTTTTCCAACACAAGGTTTTTGGAAAACTTGGTGCAGAAAGGAAAATTAATCTCATCGAGAAGGATTAAAAATAGAGGGAAGAAAATCAAGAATAATTGTATGATTGCGATTGGGTTTTAAAAATATTAAAGGAAATAGGAAAAATGTATGCATATATACGTTTAATCTGAAAAGGTAATTTATAATATCGAGTAAAGATAAAATTGGAGAATAATTCGTGTGTTTAATCGTTTGGTGGGAAAAAAAAAAAAAAGTGATAAATTTACAGAATAGGATTTTACAGAATTAAAAAGACGAAAGGTATAGCGAAATTTATCAAAAAGATAAAATTTCGCGATTTAAAACAAAAAATTGTGTAAACGTTAAAACGATGAAATATTTTGTTTAAACGTTCGCCGTTCCGTGAAATTCATGGTCTCGGTCCATTAGAAAATGAAGCAAAGATGGAAAAATTAGCGTGGACGATAATATTTCGTCGAGAATATTACTGGAACTAATCCACTGCGAACAACAAGGGGAATAGCGTTTCGAATGAAGGTAAGCCGTATTTACCGTTATTCATAGCTCTTATAGGAAAACTAAAGTGCGGGAACAAATGGGTTATCGCCATTTCCTTACTTTGAGGAAATGAACAGCGTTGAATGACGCGTTAAAAGACGGGTTCTCGAAAAATATTTCGAGAAAAGATCGAATTTTCTTCTAGAAATTTCTTTCACAATTCGTATACAAAATCGAATCGAATATTCATCGAAGGTCAAAATTTCGGGGAAAAATTTTGTTTTAGAACGAATTTTACTGAATACAAAATCGAATTGAGCGAATATTCATCGATCCATTCTTGAAATTTTGATGATACCTTTTTTAAAAAATCTGATCCGAATACTTCGATATCTTTGAATTCTCTACACTTTTAATAAATATTAAACAATCTCCAAATTTATTCGCATTAATTGATATTATAATATTTGAATTCTATAAAATTTTCATTCTATACAATTTTTAATTAATAATTAAAATCGAAAATGGATTCGAATATAAAGAATTAAATTTTCTTCAACGCATCTTATCGCACAAACGTTTAAATGCATTAAGGTTTTCCTTCACCACGATGACGCTGTTCGTGACGTTTTTTTCGTGACCCACGCGTCAGAGGACCTTTCCTTTCCTCCTCCTTCATTTCGCGACAAGCGTTTCGCTTCCCTTTGAACGTTTTCCTTTGAGTGGCCGTTTTCTTCTTCTTCTTCTTTTTTTCGAGCCGTCTACTTTATTTTATTCGAGCGTTACTCTTGCAACGCGAAACATTACGCGTTACGATCCGAAATTTCATTAAAGAATTCCTTTTCATCTTACCTACCATCTACTATCTACTGATTAAATGCGTTTTCACCCTCTTCACGTCATGTTCAAAACCCATTTTTTTTTTTTCATCGTGTCTCATTTAAATACGATTTTCTATTCGTTTTAACCCCTCCCTTCCAATTTTATTTAATTTTGTCCTCGCTTTTCCCTTTGCGGTTATATTTTATAGGGGAAATTCGATAAGAATTTTATCCCCTTATTTTGTTTTAACACCACCCTCGCGAGATTCTATAAAATATTCCACAAACGTTGACACATTTCTCTTCATTGTAAACTTCTTCGTGTTGTTTCATGGATTTTCTAAATTTTCCACGCAATAGATAATGGATGGAGGTCGTAAAATCAGACAGGCATCTTTAAATTTTAACGCGAATTGTATGAGAATATAGACAAGTCCATATAAATCCATCTCTTTGCTTCTCTATTTCAAAATGAAACTCTAATCTCTAACTTTCTCGAAAAAAGTTCCCTCTCGCGAAAATATGTATATACTATCGAGTTTCAACATTCTAATTTACATTCCCTTCCACACCAACGCACTACTCGTAATTACAGTTGTTCATAACTAACCAATCTTCGCTCATTTCAAACTTCATACTCGTTCAATTTCAAGGCTGAATAGGCTTCTCTGATTGCATCATCGTCGCAACAACAACAACAACAACAACAACAATAACGAAACCGCGTTGTTTTTAAAATCAAGACGAGATAAAAAATGCAATTTAATCCCTTTCCTCCCCTCCTATTTTCCTATTTTCACCGAATAATTGTAAAATATCGCGAGAACTCGTCGTCCAACTCGAGTCCAACCAAGATTCACGAATGAAGGAAGGATAAATGCTCGAGCACGCGCGAGACGAGGCGTGATGATACCACGTGCCGCATGGATAAAAATGGTCAGTGACGTTCGAACGGAGAGTAGTGGCAGGTTGCACGTGTCCCCTCTCCCCTCTCCCCTCTCCCCTCCTTCGAGCCACTTTTATTTCGCACGAGCGGCCAGTCGGTCGTAAAATGTTCAACCCATGTCGCTCGCTCGTTTCGACGAGCGAAAGAGAGAGAGAGAGAGAGAGAGAGAGAGAGAGAGAGAGAGAGAGAGAGAGAGAACGAACTCCGTCGATTTCTCATTTTTATTGCGAATTCACTCCCTACGAAAGATATATGTGTATATATAGCTGCGTTTTTTAGCCCAGAGTAATGAGAGTACATTTATATATATATTATATATATAAAAAGAAAGAGTGGGTTTCTTCGGGTTTTATTTATTTATTTATTTATTTATTTTTTTTTTGAGAATCGTAGACAAGGATCCGGGCTGTGGGTGGCTGTGGTGGGCTCTCCCTTGGGAAAGAGAGTGGGGAAGTTTTTTGCACTCCTTGGAGCGAGATAAGAGATAAGAGAGGGAGATTAGTGACTCGGAGCGCCGGTTATCTTTAGCCGGCGGTTGCTCTGCGGTGAAAAAATTTTACCAATTTTTACGAATTTTGCCTCGTCGACGTGATTAATATTCGAGTAAATATTTTGGTTTGTTCAGGTTAGAGAGATGTTCTGTTTACGAGATATTATGTTGTTGTTCGTGCAAGAAGAAAATGACTTTTTGAATATGGGAATGGTTTTAGGCTATTAATATTTTTTAAAGGGAATTATATATCTTTTTATCGTGAATCTTCGTCGATACGATATATATATATATGTTCAAGTAAATATTACAGATTTCATATTTATTCAAGTTAGAGAGTTTTTGTTTATCAGATATTACTGTCTCGTTCTAATTCTTGTTATTCGTAATAAGAAAATAATTTTTTAAAGATAGGGATGAGGATGGTTTTGGATTATTAATATTTTTTAAAAAGAATTATATATATCTTTTTACCACTATTTTATACAACTTGAACATTTTTATTTTAGGAGATATTTCAATTTGAAGTTTGTAACATGAACAATAAACTATCACTTTGCGTGTTTTTTTTTGTAGAAATATATGTTTTTTTTTTATATAGAGAATATCAAGTTGTATCAATTGATAAATAATCTATGATCCTATTTCAAAAACATAGAAAAAAGGAACATATATACATGATTTTTATCTTTACATCTTTTACATCTACAAAAAAAAAAAAAAAACTACAGAATATGTATTTTTTTGAAATTAACATCAGAATATATATCTTTTTGAAACTATTTATATATAACTTTATATGAAATATTTTTTATTGTACAAAATCTAAAACAAGAAAAAAAACATACACATTTTTATATATCCTTTACATCTACAAAAAAAAAACTAGTAACATCAGAACATCTTTTTAAAATTATTCAACTTTATACGAAACATTTGTTTTACTATACAACAATGAAAATCAAGAATTGAAAATATCATGACAAATCTAATTTGACAAATTTACAAAGACTAATATCAACATAAAAAGAAGAATATTTTAAACTAGACTAGTTTTAAAACAGATCAAATACTTTTAACTAAAAGAATATTTCTCTTTCGTTAAATGGAATCCTGAGACACGACACGAGAAATCATTTCCAATTCGTGAATGTCCTATCAATTAATCTGAATATTTCATTATTTTCAAACGATTTTTGTGTGACTTTTTCCACTTCCTTTATGCTCTTTGAAATTGAACCGAAGCTTACGATGATAAAATGAGGAGAGGGGGAGAACTCCTCTCTCAAAATCATAGATAAAGGACGATATTAAGTTCAAAACGAGAGAGAGATGCTTATCCTTGCGTCCTCGGCGCAAAGATTCGATAAAGAGACGAGAGGATTGAGAGCCAGAGAAATCTTGTCTCGGATTAAGAAGGAAAGGCACCGTTCCCATTGTGTCTAGAAACTTTGGATCGACCGTTAGTTATTCCTCGTCGAATACAATTCGCCAACTTCCGATTTCGTATTTAATGAACCAGTCCAGAGTTTCGATAATGTGTCTATCTCTTGCGTAAACTCTTGTGTCACGGTGGAGAGAAGTAGAGGGGAAACTACTCTTAGGACAATTAAAAATACGTTGGATACTTCCTCTACTTCGTCAAGTTTCGTCTCCACTTTTTAAAGTGAATCGCTCGTCCACCAGTGGTTCTCATTCGAGATTTGTTACAATTTTGTCTAGTATATATATGATTCTTTTTTATTTTTTTATTATTTTTGTTTTCTTTTTATTCTTAATTTTAATGGTAATTTTTGCTTTCGTCACAGGTGGTGAGAGCTGCAAGCCCAGTTCTTTTACGAGTCATTGTGCTTGGTGCGTTCTTCATATACTGCACCGTAAGTAGATTATTTTTATGTAACTTTTGTTAAAATTGTAGAAAACATTTAACATTTTAGATTAGAAGATTATTTAATGAAACACTATTGCAATACATTTTACGTACGTAACGTTTTAATATTAGGTCGAAGAAATTTTAATTAAGATGTTTAAAGTGAACCTAACTAAAAATTTAATCCAATTTATCTATATTCTAACTTGATATTATTCTAACTTGAACCTAACTTGAATAATATAATAACCAAAATCTAATTTAATTGTCGAAGTCTAATGTAATTGAAGCTTAATCGAAGTTTAGATTAAACTTAATTCAAATTTAATAACCATAAAAAGTTAAAAAAAAAAAGAAGAAAGATTAAAAAATTACTGTACTAGGAAAGAATTACAACTTAAGAGCTATTAAAACTATCCTCGATCCCTTTAAATTCTTCCGATCCATTGAATTGAAAGATTTATAATAAACCTAACCTAAAATTTAACTTGAACCAATAATCTAATTCAATTGTCTAATTGAAGTTTAATCGAAGTTTAAATTGAATTTAATCCAAATCTCAATCTAACCCAAAGTTAAAGAAAAATAGTTAAATGTAAAAAAAAAAAAAAAAATCGTACGATTTGAGAGCTGTTAAAACGGCAATCCGTGTTAAATTCCCGTGTTCTGACCCATTGTTGGAACAATTGATAAGTTCGTTTGGAAACCCTTTATCCGGCAATTGAGCACACTTGCCCCTCATTCGACCGTGAAACGGACGGCCTCTCGGCACAAAAATGGCGGGATAAAAGCGACGCCAGCGCCGCTGAACGAAAGTTAATCCAATCGTGGCGTGACGCGGCACGCGATTTCGCGTTTCTCTATGAAAAGTATTCTCTCGATTGGCAATCTATTGGCAATTATACCCACGCGATGCACCGTGAAACGAGAAAGAAAATTTTTCTGCCAAGTAAAAGAATGCTAGTATCAAGCGAGGAAACAAATTCGTTCGTTCTTTTTTTTTTTTTTTCAAACTTTAGATTTTTTTTTTTAACATTAACATCGATATTGGATCACGTGCAATCTCGTAATTTCTTTCACTTCCTTTGCAAAATTACTCGACCTTTATTCGAAAGCAGCTTGTCATTTAGCTTCGTTTTCGTGTTTCAGATTCGTGATATTATTTCACAGTCGGTCGCGAAAAGTTCTCGTATATTTTTAGTTTTCGATCGAATGAATTATTTCATTGAAATTTTACAAGATGTTGTGAGTACAGACCATAAAATTATATCATAAATTTTTTTAATTAATGGAACATCGCTTCGAAAAGATGAAATCAACCTTTGAAATATTATTTTTAAATCGTAACTTCGTAACGGTACGGGAGAAAATATTCGAGTTTCAGTGCATCGTTATTCTCTTAAGTAAAGAACATTTGCAAAATTATATACGAAAATTTGATGAAAATTTTCAGAGAAATTAATACAATTCTCATTCGAGATCAAATTTTTCAAGATAAATTTTTGAAATTCGTTTTATACGAAGATTATATAATACACTTTCGCGATTGATTGTACACGTAACGTACCCTCCACGACAAAAGTTCTAAGAAATTATTTCTTCGAATAAAAATTTAAATAACGCATTGAAAGGAAATATAAATTATACGACGAATATTTTTTAATATTTTCATCGAATATCTGTTTCAAAAACTATAAATATATTTTCCTGACACTTTCGAATATAGGAAACGTATATATAAACATTCTCTTTATCAAACCTAAGCCATCTGTTTCAATGATGACAATGATGAAGAAAATTCGATTCCTCGATCAACAAGAATCCATCAGAGGGAAATTGAATTTCTCTGATGAATCTGAGAGGATATTCTCCCCGGGTGGAGCAGAATGAATTATGGGAACGGAAATCAATTTCTTTGTTTCAGACGATAGTAATGTACCCCCGTCCAAACGTCATAACCTGTACGGTGCGTGTCTGGCTTCGGGAGATTGGATTTTCCCTCACTTACGGCGCTCTCATGCTCAAGACTTGGCGGTGAGTAAGTAGTGTAACGATGATAAAAGAAACGTGATTTAATTCCCAAGCATCGTCGAGAAACATCGCGAGTTTGCAATTAGCCAAAAATTAAAATTATCGTTCGATTTCCTCCGTTGAATCGAGCACGAAAGGTACAATTTTAGAATCTCTAAGACAAGATCCAAGACGATTCTCTTCGACGATTGATGATTTCTAGGATAAAAATACATATAAATAAAAAATAATACAATAAATAATAAAAAATAATACAATAAATAAAAAACAAAATATATATAAATAAACGGTAAAAAATCTATAAACAATAATCGTTTCTCGTTATTCGATTGAAAATTTAAATTTCCAAATAGAAGAAGAGTCTGGAGATAAACAGACTCAAACTCAGAAACGAATCTCGTTGAAGAAGTTAAGTATCTTTCCTCCCAATTTCTCCTCCCCTCTCTCTCCAGAAAAACCTCAAAGCAGCGGTTTCCTTATATTTTTTAACAGGGTTTCCCTGTACCCAATCTTCCTCTCAACTTAGAAATCCTTTTTCATACAATGGTTCGGCATACAGCATCGAGCCAATTTTCCACAAGCTCGAGAATCTCTTCCAACGAGGAGAGTCCATCCATCCATCCATCCATCCATCCATCCCCTTTTATCCCTCCGTTTCGAAAAGAATCGAAAAGGGGATCATTTGAGAGGTGCATCGTCCCTTCTTATTCCTCCCCTTCCTTCTTTCTCTTCCCCTTCGATGGATTTTCGAATCGATCAATCTCCATGATCGAAGAAAAAGGATAGACAGAGACAGAGACAGAAACAGAGAGAGAGACAGAGACAGAGACAGAGACAGAGAGAGAGAGAGAGAGAGAGAGAGAGAGAGAGAGAGAGGTCGACAAGGGTATAACGTATNTTTTTTTTTTTTTTTTTTTTTTTTTTTTTTTTTCAGAAAATTTCTTTCCACACAGAGGTCGATCCAGCAGAGTTTCGAGAACGGTCGCAGGATTTCCGCTCCCTTTCGACTCCTACTTCCTTCCTCGTCTTGTCTCGTTTCGCAAGCGAATTTGTAAGCTGGATCGGACGAGCCTCTTTTCTTCTTCGTAAATTGTCCGAGTTTGGTTATTAACCTTTGAACTGCGGGTACTTTTGGCACAACCGATTCTTTAAAAAAGAAAACGAAAAAAATAAAAATATTTTACTAAAATCAAATCATAATACTATGGATATAATTCTAATTGTTTTATAAATGTATAAAAGTAAGAAAATATCGTATAATAAAAGCGTGAACAAATTGTTATTATAGAATCTCTAAAAATGTCAAAATTTATATATATATAATTATAATTAATCGATTTAATTTTATTCATACAAGAAATAATAATTAAAACGTGAAATAACTTATGTAACAATAGATATATAAGAAATATACAGTAATATTTGAGGATACTTTACTTAAATGTGAGTTAAAAAGTACAGTAGTGGTATACTTTTTTTTTTAAAATAAAAAAAAGTAAAAAATTTTTTGCGCTCAAAAATATGTGTAAAAGTGAGGAGGAAATATTACTCATATTCCATACTGCAATTTCTATACAGTATTTTCGTAACAGGTTTCGAAACTTGGAAATCTCGAGCCGAAATTGTCCCTTTTAACCGGCAAGTTTCTGCAATATCTGAACCGTATACTTTCCCCTGTGTTGTGTCGGAACTAACACAATTAACCGGGCCCGAAACTTCCTTGGTTAAACTTGGTCCAACAAGCCGGGGTCCAACTTTCTCTTTCTCTCTCTCTCTTTCCCCGTCCACGCCTCATTCGCCATCCGTGTTTCCGGCATTCTAATGTTATTTAGCGAACTTTGCAGCTTAATCGACAACGCGCAACTTCGCCGTCCCAAGTTCCAACTTATAATTAACGAAGCTCGATCGCCAGCTCGTGCACAGCTCCGTTTGTTCGCCAAGGATTAATTAAGAGATTAAGAAATTCAAAATTTCTCCCCATCTCGTTTCACACTCTTCCTCTTCGAAAACAATCGCACCATGGAAAATTTCGATATTTCGAGATATTTCGTTTTCGAGAGAGAAATTATTCTGAACGGAGTTTAATCGAATAAGTAAATCCTGTGGTGGAAAAATAAAGTTATTTTTAATTGATTATTAAAAAATGCTTGAACGAACGACATTTATTCGTAATTATTATTCTTAATTACGAATGGCATTACGATTAATTTCGATTATTATTGTTTGGATAAACAACTTTATTCTTAACTTCAACAATTATTAAATTTTGCCTGTCCTGGAATCTTTGAAGCAATTACTGACAGATCTTCAGTTCATAAGATCTATGTAATAATAAATATTTATGGCTTAGAATTTCTTTTTTCTTTTGAATAATACCAATCTCTCCTTAATTTTAGAACATGTTCCAATGAGAGTGAGATGATACCTGAAGATTTTTGAGATCTTCTTCCAAGCGGAGGAATGAAGAAAGTAATTGGTTCAAGGATTGCAGGATCAATGATGAGAAAAATTTGTTAGTTGAAATTGCAAATAAAGTTATTATAGTTCAAAAAAAACAGGTCAGACAAGAGAAAGAACATCCATCGTCGAACAATCATCAACGAAATATTTCTGTATCGGTAATTAAAAAACGAGACAAAGAATATGATCGACACGTTTCCCAAGCAACAGTAATTTCCCAAGCGAGAGAAACCACCGTTGAAAAACAAATTAAGAGGAGGCAAAGTTGTTGCAAAGTATCCTTTAATGTTAAAGACTTTTAAATCAGTTTCATCCGACACGTCTCCAACTTTCCACCTCGCCTATTTAAAAATTCATCGATTCGTTCGTTACTTCGGACTATCTAGCCGTTTTTGTTTCACATCGAAGTTACATCGATGTTATTCGACGATCGATTAATTTCCTTAAAAAACAAGGATGGAAGAAAATTTTTTCTTCTATCGAGAAAGTTCCAGAGCGGAGCTTATTCGTCCCAAGGATCGAGTGATAATAACTGAGTCAACTTAGGTGTACACGTGATTAGGAAGATTGCAAATGAGCGTTTGCGTAACATCTGTCCTTGTAATCGAACATTCTCGGGATCAGGTTTCGTTTTTTTCGGTGCACGAATCGATTTAGATTTAGACCAGATGAAGAAGGAGACTTAAATCTTAAATCTTCGTCCAATGGTAGGTGACACAGTCTTGCATTCGATCAGGTTGAGAAACTCGAGGGATGTTTGTGAAAATGATTCTGGATTTTAACACTAGAACATTAAAATTAGTTACAAATTATAGGTATGTACATAAATGACAAAAGTAAATGGTCATTGGAAATAATTGAAAAATATAATGTGTAATTATATTTTTATACGATAATAAATAATTCTTTTACGTTTGACAAAAGCATTCGTGTATTTTTCTATAATTGCAAAAATATCTAATGGAATCAGTCAATTTAACGTGCTACTACTTTATTAATAAAAATAAGATGTATTATAATTAATAAAAATGATAAATTCATCGATATTTTTTATGGTTATATATAATTTTCAAGTTCGAAAGATGAAAGATTTATCTGTGCTTTTTAATCTCTGTGATGCGTTTTAAATTATATTAAAAAAAACTTCTCTCTAATTTTATACAGGATGTAAATTCATTTATATACTTAACGTTCACTGGTAGACGTATGACGTCAAATGGATTCCAAAATGACTAGTAAAAATCCACGAAAACTGCCTTTTCCAATTTGTCAGTGTCCTTACCTTTGTTGTCATGAGTGCATCCTCTTACGGGAAGAGATTTTATTCCTGAAGAGATTTCAACCTTTGAGCATGCTCCGTTGACCAGGAAAACGGCCGAGCTACTAAATCTCAAGCACCCTTTTGCTTCTCGAGATGACATTGCTGTGGACTATTTAGAGACCGTTCGTGTTTTTCATCTCTTTTTGATGTTCCAATCACTTTATCGAACTCTTTCATTATATTTATTTAAGTAATAATTTAAAAACTCTGATCCAATTTGATGAAATAGACTCATTTGTATACTGTTTTTCTTTTAACTTATAATTTAATCCTAGAATTAACATTTATGTGCAATATATATATATATATATATATATATATTATTCGTGAATTATTTCAATTTTTGTCTGTAATTATCAATCACAAGTAAGATTAGCAAATATTTCAATATTGTACACCCTACGATAAATATTCTCTATCGGGATCAGTACATACGCAACAATTTCCTCGTTTTCACATATATTACCATTTAAGAGTATTCGTTGCTATTGTCAAAGCATATGTTACAAACCGTGTGTCACAGAATATGAATAAGTAATTACACATTCACGTTCAAACCACCAATGGTGATAAAAGCGTGTGTAAATTGTGTTTTGATCGTTCTCTACTAATAATATATAATAATATATAATAAAAGATATAAAATAGGAATAGAATCAACGCCATTAACGAATCGATGAATTTTCTAATAACCACGTGTGTTATTCTTTGACCTATCTCTACCTATATCTAACCTATCTATCAAAAAATATATCTGATTTTTATTTGATGCTGGCTCACACTCAAAATCACGCACAAAAAAACACATACACAAAAAACACTTAATTCTCTAATTCTTTTGGTTGCAGGATATCGGTAATATTTCGGGTGAAATCAGCGAAAGCTGTGAAAATAACGGATGGCAGCCTTCTAAAACGGTTAGGCGTCATCGTAATGATATTCAGCGTGTTCCTGAGCATTCGTACATTGGTGGCGCCACCTGTGGTGATTGTGGCGCGAACAGCGGATGATCTGAAAGCTTATCTGTGCCGAACAGATTGGTGGGATCACAGTTTCACTACACGTGAGTACTTTAAACGTTCGATTCAATTATTTGAAACGCGATTCCTTTATTTATTTTTTTTTTATTGGATTGTTTTTTTTTTGATGGAATATATTAATCACACACGAAAATAGATTTAATCTACTCTTTAATGGATTGATTGGGATTAATTCAGCGTGAAATTACGAGAATGAATTTTAAAGTGGAGGAGATCAAACATGGATAGATTCTCTCAATGCTCTCTCGCGCTTTGATGAGAAATTTCAACTAAATTCCATTTAAATTCCATTTAACTCCAACTACTATATTTTATCTTCTAATCAATTTAAGTAACCACGTAAAACTAAAATGAAAATTTACTTACGCTAATAATTCGATTTGAATAATATTTTTTTTTTTTTTAGAATTAGAAATTAGTAGTAAATCAGAAAATTAAGAAAATTGAACTGGTTAAGCAAATTAGGATAGATAGGATAATTTTATAAAGAAACGAACAAAGTTCTCTGAGAAAAGTATATAGATAGGTCATCGTTCTCTTCCAAAAGATAAATCAACAAATGTTAACCACGATAAATGCATGCTCTCGTTTGGAAATTGTTCCTGTTGGCCCCACTATTGGCCGAAAGTTCGCGGTCCTAGTCTCATTATTAAAGGGAAATGGAAATTCTAAATGGTGAAATGCGACGAAAGAGATGCATAGAGTTTATAATATCGATTCTTCGAAAAGTTTTAAGTAAATCAACGTGAAAGATAAATTTTCTTTTATCGGAATAATTCCTAAATATCGAGAAATAATAAATGGATTTATTTGAAGGGAAAAAATTACAATATTCGAAAATTGAAATATTTATATATATATATTTTGGAATGTGAGAATATCTCGAATTGTCCGAAACGATAAAATTAGAATTGAGAAGAAAAAAATCGAAATTAAAAAATTGATACAATTAAAATATATCGATATATATTTAAAATAGATATCAATTTTTCACGTAACTTTCATAAATTATAATCTACTTATCGTTATACTTCCATAACATTTCTTTACAAAAAATTAGCCTTCCATCCCGAAAACGATTTACGAAGAGTCTTAATTGGTTTAAAAACGATCATAGGAGAATTTTAATTAAAAGATTTTATCATTCAAGGAATCTCTGCTAAGTATTCAGAGAGTGGAGACCTACCAGTGCTCGATGAACGATAAATTTATTCGATCGACGATAATTATTCGTCTCCATACTTTTCTCGAGATTTTAAATGGAAATATTTTTTTTTTTTTCGGAGAAATACGATCGACCAAGTATGTTCGTTGGATAAAGATTCGGGTGATCCAGTGGATCTCTTTCGGGAATAACGCCAAAGTTTTAACAAGTAGAAGCTTCTTTCAATTCCTTCTCCTTTGGCCACGATCCAACATAAAGTATTTCAAATTTAAGGAAAGAATTTTATTAACGTTTCCAATGGTATTTTTTGAAAAACTGAAAACAATATCCGGTTTTAGAATTATTTATCTTTTTATTATATAGAAAAATTCATAGAATTGATAGAAGAAATATTCAGAGAAATAATATATAGATTGAATACATCGATTGAAGGATTTAATCAACGATAAGGGATAGATATTGTTCTATCTTCCTCATATAACGAAGAATTTGCTTTGAAGAATTTTGCGAGATTAAAGGATTAGTGTTGGAAAAGGGGGATGTTACAGTTAAGTTATGCAATTATGATAAGAATATAATATTATGAATTGTTCGAAATGGATTAATAATTTAAAATAGAAATTTTATCCTTTAAAATTCGAAATTTTATTAACTTATTAAAGAATTATATTTTCAAAAAGTTTTCTTGCAAACATGAAGAAAAAATTTCCAAGCCATATATAATTATCCAAATTTTCCATTATTTCTAATTCTCAAGATTAAAGAATTAAAGGAATTTCAAAAGAAATTAAATTTCTTCAAAATCCAAATTCTTCTAATTTTCAAAATTAAAAAAATTAAAGGAATTTCAAAAGAAATTGTTCCAAATTTATTCTTCCTATGATCAATTATCCAAATTTTCCATTCCTCTAATCCTTCAAAATCAAAACAGTAAAGAAATTCGAAAAAGCTTTCAAAATTTTTCATCTTTCAATTTTCCAAAAAAAAGAAAAGAATTGCAAACAATTCTAAATTTTACTCATCAACTTTTCACGTTCGATTAAACCTATATTGCTAATAAAATCGCTATGAAATAAATTTTATCGTCTACATAATATTCTTTAATAATTCACCATCTGCCACACGCCTCTCTCAAAAACAAACCGCAGACTAATTCGATGTTTTGCCTGGCAAAGCTGTTCTTCACCCTCTTCTTCAACCCCTTCTTCATCTATGCTTCCTATCTATCTATTCGAACCGTAAAATACAAGAAAGGAATTTTAGTAACGTTTCCAATGGTATTTTTTGAAAAACTGAAAACAACATCCAGTTTTAAAAATTATTAGAATTATTTATCTTTTTATTATAGAAAAATTCATAGTTCGTATGCTGTATTCGTTTTTCCACGACTTTAAGAAAGCACAGAAAAAAAAACCGTGGCTTCCTCTCTTCGTTCTATTTATTCGCTCATCGAATTATGACTTGTTAACTCGAATCGAATCGGATCGGACAAACAGTGAAGTATACGTTTCTCTTTACAAGATGATTGAAAATCAAACATCTGTTGATATATTCTTCTCTTTCTCTTTTTTTTTTTTTTTTTTTGATAGATTTTGGAATAATTTGAATTAAGGACAATTTAAGAGTTGAAGACAATTTTCACAAAAGTTGGGATCGATGAGGGATGAGTGAAGTATTAAATTTATTATATTTCATTGGGATTAAAAATCGAAACTTATTTGTTTTGTTCTTTTTTTCTCTCTTTTTCTTGTTAATTTTTTTAATTTTAGTTAATTTTTTCTTGTTAATTTTTAAGAATTTTTTTTTCGAATTGGAAATTGGATTGTTATGATGAGGCAGGGATGAATTTTTGATTTTTTCTCTGGGATTGATCAAAATCGAAAATGTCTATTGATATTGCGTTTTTTTTTTTTTTTTTTTAGTAGATGATACTTGAAACGTTTTTTGAAATTGAGATTACAGGTCACGTGTATATTTTTGAAATTAATTAAATTCGAAAGTCTCTTTATTTTTTTTTTCTTTTTTTTTTTTTGCGCGTTGATTTTTAGGTGGAATTGGAAAATGAAATTGAGATTACGTAGAGATTCAAAAGATTTAAAAAAAATAAATTTGATAATAAAATTTCATCGGGGAATTTAAAAAGAATGTTTGTGACGATGAAAGATTTTCTTTTTTTTTCATCAGATTTTCACAAAATTGAAATATTAAAAAGTTCATGTGCCAGAAAATATAAGTAATTTATTTTACATAATTTAAAATTAAAATTCAAATTATTTTTTATTTAATATATTTTATATTTTATTCGTATCAAATTATATTATTGTTAATATTCATTTTAGAATTGACGATTAATTATTATTTAATGGATTAAAATGTAAAAATTATTTAAAGAATAACATATCCAGTCTTTGCTGGATTATTTACTTCAAATCTGGAGTAAATTTGAGATCAGAGAGATGAAATAGTAACTACAGTACTTACTTTTCATTTCGTGATTAAATTGGACGTAATTTCTTATACCTTCCTGCTTGTTTCAACTTTTATTTGCAAAGTACCGTGTTTGAACTTTCCTTGGAATATATTTGGCTGGTGATATAACTTTGTCCGAATAACCATTCTACTTTTTCCTTCCTTCTTTCTTTTCTCATTTCTAGAGATAATAATCTCTAACTTTTATTCATTTATAAAAATTTCTTTTCCTCGTTTTTTTCTATGTTATAATATTGTTACTATTGTGACTAACATTTTCAAAATTCAAAAAGGCCAATATTCAACAATTTCAAGAATTCAAAATTTTCAACATTTAAACAATGAAAAAAATTCGATCATTAAAAATCAATGTTACATTTTTTTAAATTCTCTCAAAATTTTCAAAATTTCAAAAAAATTGCAACATTCAAACATTCAAAAACATTCAGAAACAAAATACTTTCACTGTTTAATGTTTTGAAATATTTCGAATATTTAAATTTTTTTAAACTTCCAACTTTTCGAATTTGGATTTATAATTAATCCTTCACAGCTGTTTTTTTAGCTGATTATTTAAATTTAAACCGACATCGACCGAGTGGAACATTCAACTTAATGAGTCCCCATAGTATCTCGCTATCTCTCTAGAATTCGAATGTCCCTTCGATGTGCACAGTATCGTGGGATCTTGATTCCAAAATGCAAATTAGAACATCATTGCTTGAAACCAATCTGATAATACTCTGAAAAGATGAATTTAGTCGCTTGAAAAGAAGAGATAAGGGAGAGAATTCAAGATGATGGCCGTTGATATAAAATGGCGGTTGTTAGATTCCTAACTTCTTCTTTTGAAATGAAAATTTCTTTTTCTTCTTCCTTCTGATAATATTTATTATACTAATCGAAATGAAAATTTTAATAATTTTATAATTAATTTCAAATATTTTATTTATCACGATCTATCAAATCAAAATAATTAAATTATTTTTAAAAATTAATATCTTTAATTTTGATATTTGAAGTATTTTTGATAAAATCAAATCAATTGTTGTTGTTACAACAAATATTTAAATATCGTGTTTATCTAATTTAAGGATTAGTTTTTCAATAAATTTCGAATTTATTGGTGATAGGAACAAGTTACAGTTTCATTCCTGATAAGATTATTGATATAATAAAATCCACAGCCAGATAGAAATCAATCATCCTGTTCATAAAATTCTTCGGTCTGAAATTCTATAAACGTCTCTTCAATTAATCAGATGGTCAAGCATCATCAAAAATTGTCATTTAAAAACGTTAATTAATTTGCCTTCAATATTTTTCGTCAAAAGATTTAAAAATATATATATACTTATTTGTACTTCTCTAATTTATTTTTTTGATTTTAATTTTTTTCTTAAACTATATCGATTTCTTTATGTATGTAAATTTTTAAAATTGTTGCATTTTTATCGATAGAATTATGATATAAAATAAAATAAAAAAAAAAAAAAAAGAAACTTTTAAAAATCAAAGTTAAAAATTTTTTAAATCAATTCTACTAAATTTGATGTTTGATCTAATAGAATAACTAACTGAGAAATTGCATATTTGAAATTGCCACTGGTTCATAAAAGAACGAAAAAAATATTTAATCGTCGTCAAAGGAAATAAATTGCCACGAAAATACGAGCTTTGACCGACAAAGTTGTAAAAGAGTCGAAATCAAAAGTTTGCAATCCTCTTTTTGAAACAACCGATATAAGCAAAGTCGCCAATGAATGAACATGCCATTGTGGTGAAAAAAATAAATAAATAAATAAATAAATAATAAAACCTAAGCGGACAATTTCGCAAAAACTATTTTCGAGATAAAAAAAAATCACCATTTAAATAAAAATTGTACTCGAGAAATTTTATTCTCACGGTCGTTAATAAATTTTTTCGACCATTTTTTGATCCGGAATTTAAAAAAAAGTATTGATTGGCAAAAATTCTAATTTCTCTAAAAATTATTACAATAAAAATTTTAATACAAATTTTCATCCATTCGAATCATATTTTATAATAAATATATTTATAATAAATATTTTTCCCAGAATAATAATTTCACTCGTAACAACAAAAATTCTCTATACTTGAGCTAATTAGCGCATTCTGAAAAGAAATTTATTTTTTTGATTTTAATTTTTTAATATTAATCCTGTATAATATTCTGATGAATTTTTTGAAAATTTTCCTTCGAAAGATGATTTCGAAAATTTCATTTGATTCGATTAAATAAAGATTCTCACAGCTTAACCAGAAGTTGCCTGTTTCTTCTTTTTTTTTTCACAGGTTTTTCTAAAGCCACATTTTCCGCGTGCGCATTAGCGCGAGAGCTTTTTTGACGAGAAAAAAACAACCCTTTCTGAAGCTGTTTTTGTCACTGTTATTTTTTTTTTATCTTCGTTTTATTCATAATCTTCTTTTCTATCCCTTGCTTTTTCGGTTAAACAATAAATACAACGTGACTGGACCACATTGGACAGAGACACTTTACTCAATATCCGCCAAAGAATTTTTTTTCTGCAGATTATATTATAATCCTATACATTAGATTTACTGCACGTAGATTTTCACAAATTCCATTCTAATATCTAATAATATAAAATATATTTTTAATCGTGAAAATTTGTTAACGCGAATTTTATTTATAACTAATAATAAAAATGAAAATTATTTCTATTCGATAAAATTTCGTTTCGAATGGAATTAGCGTGAGAGAGTTTTATTTTAACGTTAATTTTTTTGGAAAATTATTTTTATTATATACAGTAGACGAACACATCCATTGTTGATGGATCGAAACGAAAAGAATTAAATTGTACAATTGCGATGAATTTTCGTAATTACAAAACTGTTTTCTCCTCTGAAACGAGGAATGTGTGATATATGATAACATAAAAACGGCTTGTTTCCATTGCAATTTTTCTGTATTATTAAAAGAAGAAAGAAAAATGATTTTATTCATTTTTGTAATGAAACAAAAATCAAAAACGCTTACACAAATTCCACCATTATATCGTATAATGTATTTAAAAATGAAGTTGCAAGTGAATCTTTTAATTTAACTCGTTTGTTTCACGACGAGCAGTTTATTCACAATTCACATTTTTTCCAAAAATCGAAAAATGCGAAATTTAAAAATTTATTATTTTATAAAGAATTTTTAAATTATCGTGTTTGATCAATAAACGAAGTATAAATAAAAATATCTGGCTTTAATTCCAAAAAAAAAGAAAAAAAAGAAAAAAAAGAATATAAAATAGAAAATTAGGAAAAACAGGAAAATTTATATTTTGGCATAAGCTTTGCAAAATTTTTCCCTTATCTTCTCAAAAAGTGTGAACAATGTAAGAATAAAGATAATAGGCACATAATCTATAAAAAAAAAGATTAAAAATCTCCAAAAAAAAAAAAAAATGTAAAAACTAATTCAATTTAATCTTACACAATTTGACATCTCAGTTTACAAATCTTAAAAACTATTTCAACAAAATTGTCAAAAAGATTTGGATAATGAAGAATAATGTCTCATCTTTGTTACTTCTTTTACTAAGAATCAAACTAGCAAATTAGTCACATAGAACAACAACAATTATTTCTCTTTTTTTTATATTTTATTATAAAATTTTTGGTCGTCATGTCACCAATCCTCAAAGAACGATTTCTATTTGAAAGAGGTACAAACAAGAACAAAACAATTCCTCTCAAACTAACGAAAATTCTTTATTTCTATAACAATTCCTCTCAAACTAACGAAAATTCTTTATTTCTATTCATTTATTCATTCTTTTACAAATTAATTTATTGTTGAAAACATCTGTGTGTAAACGAATTTCCAAATTTGGAAATTCCAAAATGGAATAACACATTCTTTACAGAAATTACAATTGTTAATTAATTTTTCTTCTTACAAACACTTTTTGTAAAATGATGATTCCAATTAATAAAGAAGAAAAAAAAATTTTGTTTCTTTTTGTTCTAGTCGAGGTTATGTTCCTCATATGGGGCATCAGGTTGTGCATCGTGGTGAGAAAGACACCGTCGGAGTTTAACGAGAGTCGATTCATCTCGATGGCCATTTACAACGAATTTTTATTGTCAGTCTTCCTCAATGTCTCTATGTGAGTATCTATTTAATATAAAAGATCCAAAAGAAGACGGAACATTAACGTGCCAACAATTTAACAACGTTTTAACTTTTTGATCCACCTAACCTCAACGTTACTTCATTGATAGAAAATACAATCATCGACAAATAAATCTATCTTAAAATAGATACATGAGTGAGTGATGAAAATTATTCGAAAGAATAAAACGAAGGGCGAATTAAAATTCAACAATTCTTTTTTTCATTTATTTCATCCAAAAATTCTTCTCGATAGTACATTTAATCCCGTTATCAAAGTAAATTCAGAAACCTACCCAGTATCGAAAATGCGTTCGTGGCGTGAAAGGTGTAATTACTGTGTGTGTATGTACGTATAAAAAGAAAAAAAAAAATTCTGCTGATTGATGGCATCACAGGACGACCTACATTACCGTACGCTGGAAAGTAGACAAGCCGAAATGAAACGCGGATACGCGTGTCAAAACAAGATTAATAATAAAAATTTGCATTCGTTTTTCATTTCGAGAGATTATTATAAAAGTTTATCAACGTTCGTCCCTATTTTCCATAATTAAATTTTTCCGCCCGAAAAATTAATAGGATTCCGAGTCTTTCTTCCGATTATCTCCATTATTATAATTCGAATAAAATTTTCACCTGTCAAACGCTCGAACGAAATGTGAATGGACAGTATAGTGTATCCGTGTACACGACGCGATCACGCGAAAACGTCATCGGATTTAATGCTCGTCGAATATTCTCTGTTCCGCGAAACTGGCAACATACGAATCGTTAATTTTAATAATGTATCCATCGCTCTCGGATACACCCCTCACGTCCGTGCCCGTGTCGCGAACTGGAGCAGAACACCGGAACCTATTATGCCTCGATGCCACTGTACACGCTCCGCATAAATAATGTTAACCCGAAGAACTCGCATAACCTTTCGAAAACAATTTTCTTCGAATTCAATCGAAATCAAACATTTTTCGAAGGTGGAGAAGAGTTTGCTTTCTTTGATACTCGTATATATTATACATTAGAAATTTAATTTATATGAGTAGAAGAGGGGATAAAAAAAAAAAAAGAAATCGATTTCGAGGGAAGTAAAATAAATGGAATGAATTTTTTTTTTTTTTTTGAATTTTGAATATTCGTTAACGAATGCTTTGTCCGTTGCTAATTATATAAAAGGCGACGAATAATCGACGGAGAAAGGAATATTTAATTATGGAAAATGGGAAGATGGAAAGGAGGAGCGTTTAATGTTGATAAACAAAAGATAAATCGTATAAATGGAAAGCCTGGTTCGATCGAGAGATTCGAATAATTCAGCGATAATTAAGATCTCCTATTGGTCAATGGTTGAAATTAATAATAATAGACGAGGAATGAAAAAAAAGCAGTAAAAAAAAAATCTGAAAATCAAATATATGTCTAATTTAAATAGGCCAATAAACTCCAGATAATTGTTTTTAATTGCATGAATTTTTGAACGACGAGTTGAAAAAAATATATATGGCTGTCTAGTCTAGTTAAAAAAATGAGTGTAGTCAATTAAAATTTTATTATTATTATTATGTACAATTATTACATCTCTGTACGTATTTTGCATCCACTGCGGGAACACATCTTTGAAATTTAAGTCCCCAATTGAGAACGGAATGCAATAGAGAGTTAATGAAAGAAGAATAGAGAGAGAGAGAAGCTCATTAAACGCTATTTCAACGCTATTCTTCGTGTCAAATAATCTTTGAATAATCTTTATTCAAGAAAAAAAAAAGGACAACGAGATCCATCCATTGAAAGTGATGCTTTCGTTTGAAGAACTTGATTATAATTAATTGAAGCGGCACGCGAAGCCACGAAGGTGAAAGTGAAGATGGTGCAAAATGATGTAAGCAGCCATCTTGCTGTATGAACTGTATTTTAACAAACCGCGAGCAGATTCGAGAAATTCGAAGAGAGGGGAGAAGATAAATTCCGCCTCTTTGTACCGTGAAAGCCCATATGGTGGTTGTGAAACTTTCAGATAATTTACAATAGTTAGTATTTTATGTATTGCGGTTCGCAATTGGAAAGCAATAAAGCAGCCTGGACCCACTAAAAATTGCTTTCTAAATATTAACAGCCATCAGGTTGTAACAGATGATGCCATTGTGAAACGGAGGTAACCATGGATATATCTCAAAGAAAAGATTTTATGATATTTATAATTGTTTCTTGAGTGATAATGATCAAATGGTTTCTTTTTATATTATAGCAGAAGGATTTGATGCAAGATTAACAGAACATCAATGGATCTCAATTTGGATTCAATCTGGATCAAGGAATTATGTTTTGATTATAATATACGTGTGAAGGAACAGTACAGAAAGATTACCAAGATTGAAGATTCTCTCCTTGGAGTTGGAATTCCCTTGGTAAAACATCATATATTAACACATCCAGTCGTGTAAAGGAAGTGGAATCCTTGGAGCGGATATGTGATGATGTTAATGCAAATTATTCAAACATCTGAGATTAAGATTATGTGTAATCTAATTATGTAAATCTATAATGAATGTGAGGAAACTGAAGAATGATTAATTGAGAAATGGGATTTAAGATAGGACAAGAATTAATTTTTAATAAGCCCATAATTGAGTGATAAATGAATAAACTTCTTTAATAAAAATGAAAATTGTTAAATTTCTTCAATATTTGTTTTATTACAGTTTCTTAAAATTAATTTATTTGATTCTCGAGTAATATTATTAAAGAATTAATTAATTTGAAAATAATCATAGACACTGTAACATTATTACCATAATTTTTAAAACATTTCTGATTATCTAAAAAAAACAATTTATAAATTTCAATACTAAAACTTTCCAACAAGTTATTCCTTTGTTAAAAAGTTTAAGTCATTCAATTTCATAATCTAGTATAATATAATATATTTATACTTTTTTTTTTTACTTTTTTATAACAATTATACTATTTTTCTGTCAAATGATCTTATATCACGCTTGTATTATTATATTTATATCAATAGCAATGTCTTTCTATTAATCTATATTAATATTGTCTATACTATTAGCCTGGCTATATATCTATACTTGATTATCATTTGTGACACTGTACTGAGTCTGACTATAACATTATACTACTACTTGATATAATGCGCATACGCCCTACACAAGTGCCATTCAATTAGGATCTATATTCTATAATAGACTCTTTCTCTCTATTTATTCTCTTGTTTTTCTTTTTCTTGTTATCCAGAATTTTTAACTCTCACTACCACTACACATACAACATGTATTGTGTATCTTTCTGAGAAGGAAAAACAGAGTAATTTTCTCGCAGAAATGGACGTCAATTTGTATCGAAATGTTTTATCAACTCTGAGGAAAAATAGGATTCGTAGAATTTAACTGGACCGTTAGAAGATGATTGTTCGCATTCCAAGAAACTTCTTCTTGGAAATATCGAAACATGAGAAAATATACGAAAAATTAAACTAAAATTGTCCAAATTTGATTCCTTTCTTGAGGGAAAATATAATTAAAAAAAAAAAAAAAAAAATCCAATAAAATTCAAAAAAATATTACGAAACATTTTACTGTAAGAAAAAAATATCAAAAAAATTTTACACGATTCGCATAAACTGTTCACATGAAGTTTATCACATCACTGCAGAGAAAACTACATTCAGAGGGATGTTTCCGGTTTACAGGTTGTTCTTGCAGTCACCAGCCAATCCGGATTTATTGTACGTGATATTTTTCTGTCACACCCAGCTCACGGTCACGTTGCTTCTCTGCCTCATATTCGGCAGCAAGGTAAGATCGAATCGATCCCTGTTTTTTTTTTTTTTTTCTTCGTATTTTCATTCGCGTTTTCAAACGGTGCGTGACAAATGGCAACCGCTCCTGGCGGGACGCGAATCCTAAAGGTTGCGGCTAACCCGTTGAAATTTATTTATCTCACGGCTTGCATATTGATCATTCGAAAGTAACGGCTGGCGCAACTTGTAAAATAGTTGTGTACGAACAGCCGTGGTCTAATTTATTTCCGGCCGATGTGGCGCCGATGAAAAATCGCAGTTCCTGCGAACCATCTCCCTCCCCTCCTCCCTCCTCTCCCCTCCATCTCTTTTTCTGCGCATTAAAATTGAAAGTCGTTTAACTTAAAGTCGAACTTTGAATATAAAACGCCTTACTCCTCCTTTCCAAGTAAACGTTATCAATTCTCTTCCGCAAGAGGAAATGTTTTTTTTTTTTTTTTTTTTTTTTTTTNACAACGCGTATACAATATAGTATTATGCATTGCAGAGTAAAAACATTCTTGTTGTTACTGTTAAGAAAGAGAAAAAAGTTTATTTCTTGATAATAATAAATTATAGAATAATAATTATAGAGAGATACAATAATGTGTATATATATTGTTTTATAAAGTAATTAATTGATTATCGAACTGAAGCACCATTCCTTGTTACGAACAATTGCAAACTACGGCGAATATATTAACACAGGACAAAAGCAGTTCCTCGTAATTCTCTTCTTCCTAACCTAATATTCCTGACCGCTTAATTCGACGGATGAATGCTTTAGAGAGAAAATTATAGAGTTGTACAGCATCGAGAAATGCTGTAAGCTCTCGTAAATTCAATATTAAATTCGTACAATTTAATAACATCCAATCTAAACTATAGTTTATTGTACAGTTCTCGTGTCAATTTCCATTTCTCAAGATTTTTATCTTAACTTAAATGAAAGATGAATGAAAAAGAGAGAGAGAGAGAGAGAGAGAGAGAGAGAGAGAGAGAGAATATCTCAACAATTTTTAGTCAATATCTCATTATTTCATGTATTTCCTCGTAAAGAAATCTTTCAGCATAAAGAAAGTTTTAAAATTAAATATTCGAGGTGGCGCCACGATCGACGGAAACTTGGACGATTTTTCGAGATAAACGAAGTTTGCTGGTTGTTTGACGCAGGCCTACATGGTGTTCCGTAGCGGGGGCAAAGAGGACTCGAAACACTCCGGGGCCACTGGAAAATTTCTAGGGAAAGGTAGCCGCCCACCGGGTACCAGCAATCAGACAAACTCGATATCCCTTCAGCAAGGAAACTTCACGGATGAAAGTGATGGAGCGACGGTAAGAGCATCTTTATCCACCGTTCTATTAGATCTATATTCATTTTTAGAATAGATCTTTTTTCCTTGTTCGAGTATCACTCCGAATGAAAAAAATTTTTCTTCTTTGATTTATCAGAGGTCTGATCTTATTCGTGTTCTTAATACATTAAGGGTTGTTACTATATCGAACACATTTAGAGGATTGATTCTAGAGATCGAGGTGATTACGAAAGTTAGGTTAGAAAAATGTTTAATCGAGGCTTATTTATTAATTAAATAAGCGATTTAAATTTGTTTATTAGAGACAAATTGATTAGAATTTAATAAGTAATAAATAATAGAAGGAACTTGATTACAGCAATTTTTCAATCTTTCATATTGTTGGGAGATACGTTTTAGTACTTTCATTGACTGAAGGTGTGCCACACTGATGAATACATTGGAAACACGCAATTGGTCAATTTGAACACGAACGGACTGAAGTTTTCTACTTTGAAATGTACTTCTTTTAAATTCACATTGTGATGTATGATTTATATAAACCAACGAAAAGTGAACTATTTAAAAATTGATGAAAAAGAACTAAGGCAGTTTGTATAAAAGAAAATATTATTGAGAATGAATATAATAAATTTAATCAAATTCTGAAAATATTATATATTTAAGTAAATGAATATAAATATGATAGAGGAAAATAAGGTTATGTTAATATTGATTGTATTATCTAAAGTTAACCACCTAAATTAGCTTTAATCCTGTGTGTTACAATTATGGAACTATATAAATATTACTTACTATATAAAAAAGCTTTATCTTTTCGTGAGTCAAGATTCTAGTCGATTGAATGTGAAATATGGAACTGTGAAATAGGGACACACGTGTGCTGCTTTACAATCGGTGAACGATTGAGGAGCAGGTAGAGGGCACCAGTGTGCGATTTAAATTCCCATAGCGAATTCGAGCCATCGTCAAAATATGTCTTTAATGGCACGTTCGCGTGATCTGTGTATGTACGTACGTATATATGTATCTTTAGATATCGGTTGCTCTTTTTCTCTTTTTTTTTTTTTTTTCACCTTTTCTCTAGATCCTGTTCCAGATAAATTCTCGTTGGATTTTCGTGACTGGATGAACTATAATGATATAAGAGCAGATAAGAGAATGAAACTTTGGAATGAAGCAACGAAAGAATAGATTACGTTAAAACAGTTTTAACTTTTTTGATGATAACTTTCCAAGTTATAAATAAATTTTATTTTCATTTAATATATTGTTATATATTGACTAACCTCATAATTATTAGATACTTAGTAAATTTTATCCTGGATAAAATTTTGATACGTTAGTACATTATTGACAAGAGGAGCATGACGAATGAATTCGAAATTACATTATCGATCAATACATTCTAATTTTACGTTGAAACGTGTCAGAATACGTATTGACAATGAATATTTTCCTAATATTATATATTCGTCAAACAGTTGATAATGGGAGCCTAACATTTCCAATCTGAATCGTTATTATACGATTCGTAAATCTTTAATTCTGCTCATAATCAAGTAAAATTCTCCAATCTCTGAATCTGCCATTCTGATCGAAATATTTCGATAAATTTTCATAGATTTCAATTTCCTGTTTATAAAATTAGAACAACTCGAAATCAATAATGGCATCGGGCACATAGATCGCTGTTAAAAATAATTATTTTAATTTTACGGGTTTTATAAATGGTAACCTTTCGAGAAATCCGCTTAACAAGCAGATTCTTCTAACGAAGTTTTCAAGAGACATTTAAGGAGGCTATGAAAGTTGTACTGGTAAACCTAATACCTTCTATAAGCTTATTAAAAGACTGAATTCAGGACAGGTTGTTTTGTCTTATAACGCTGATATCATCGTTGGAAATTATATGAAACTAAACGAAAACTTCTACTACTCCTAAAACTTGGAAGATTAATTTTTTTTATTGATCGTCATTTCGTGAAGAATCGATCAATATACAATATTATTATTATATTTAAAATCAGATAATTCATATGTATAAAAAATCATCTTACGATTTTTATTTTTCTTATATTAAACTATAGATCGAATTTTGAATATGATGTAAATATTGAATACTATAATTAGTAAATTTTATTAGGTCTAATCCTTGAAAGTATTTTATGAGTACCAAGATTTCGAGAACTCAAATTGTTTTTTGAATGCAACGAAATTCGGAACGAATGTGCATCAGTTACCATAGAAGAAAAAAATTCCATCATGTATCACTTGATTGAATGTACTAAGTGATATACGTTTAAAAATGTGCGAAACTTCAAAAATTTCGTAAATTCAAATTATTTTTTACAAACAATTGAGTTATTTAACAAAGTTTTGAAATCTTATAAAATCTTAAATACTTAAGCATGATGAGATATTTTCGAAAACAATCCAATTTGAGTGTCCATCGAATATTTGAAATTTTTAGGTTCTTATATGTTTTTATTAAAAATGAAAAATAAATAATTCATAAACAAATGAATTCGAAGGTTAACTTAAAAAACGATTAAGCCTAAAAATATTATTAGATACCTAGAAATTTTTGGATTTTCTCACGCCTGTTAATGTTAATACGTTAAAATATGTTAAATACGACGATGAATTTAGAAGAATTTACACAACCGAGTAAATATTCATCGAAACTCAAAATACGAAAATCTCGAAAAATCCAATACCAATGAAAAGAATCCAATTTCGATCCAATCACCCCTCTTTCCTCTCCAAAAAAAAATTCCCAACTCAATACGTATACCACCATTTACGAACCAGGATAGAATTCATATTAAATTCGAACATAACCTATATCACTCCGTAAGGAGTAAGGAATATTGAATTTAAAATTCCTCGAGAGTATCGTCCTATATATAAATAACAATTACTATGGAAATGGAAATGGAAATCGCTGATTTCAAAGATTTCTCTTTCTTAACCTCGAATTGTTGGACCGCTATTGCTGGCCTACATAAAAAGGCGACGCGTGAAAAAGGCTGCCTTTCCGACGAGTAAATGTCATTGGTGGGGAGCAAGGGAGAAAAAATTGGCAAGACATCGTGGCAAAAAGTCAAGTGAATTCCGTCGACTTGAAAGCCACGGTTGGTGGCCGCTTTGACATTCGAGCACTGATTATAACCTGCTGTTTGACACGATCGTTTCGATGGAGTGATGGCTCCGGTGGATGTAATTTCTGAAGCTCGTTTCACGGCTTGGATCACAAACGTCGGGCGTGATATCGGGTTTCTCGGTTGCAAAGATCCGCGGAGAGAAAGGAATTTTTTTTTTCTTTTTCTTTTTTTACTTAACTATGGAAGACGAAAAAGTGCTCTTGAAAAAGACTTTCTGGCTCGTCATCTTCCGCAAGGTTTCTCTTTTCTGAAATAAAAGCTCTTCTAGAAATAAAATTCTCCGCTCCTTTGTTCTTATGATATTTCTAACTCGTATAAAAGATTTTTTCTTATTTACTAATTTTTTAGTAATCATTATAAAAATATATATATATATTCTTGAATTTTTTAATTTCAATAGTTAATTGGAAAAATTATTATTCCAATTTTTTATTAATCAAAAAAAAATTTTCTCCAACACAAAAGAATTTTTATTTCTCAACTTAAAAAAAAGAAAAAGAAATTATTAATTTCTTTCTTTAAAATAATACAAAGAATATTTCAATTGATAGTTTCACTATGAAGATATATTACTATTCATATTATTTAATATTTTAATATTTTTATATTGAAAATATTCTCATTCTTGAAAAAGAATGGAATGCAAAAGATTTCTGATAAACATCATACCTTTGTTTGTTTGCATACCTTATTGAATGCTTTATTATTTTCCTTCCTGGCCAAAGATATAGCAGAGTAAAAGCCTATTGAGCCAGCTACCACTTGATCTTCCATTAATTGCGCCTCCCCTTTCATAGGACCGACTAATATGCTGTTATCAAACTCTACAGGTCGGATGCTCCTCCTCTCAATCCTTAGTATACACGATATTAAATCCCTGCTTTTAGACAGTCATCACGCTCCTTATATCTATCTCCTATATATAAGCTTTTCAAATTATGATGAGCAAACACGAATAAAATAAAATTCTTTTTGTATTTTTTATGAATATAAATGATAAATAAAGTGATAATAAAATAATAAAGAAAAAATAGTTCGAAAATAATAAAATCACTTTTGTTCTTATAAAATATTAAACAAATATTCACACATCATGGATATGTTATGGATCTTTCGTGATATTTCGTTTATTTATAACTCTACTCATTTTTCGATTTACAATGTGTTTTAAGAGTAGTATAATATGAAGAGAACTTTTTTAAAGAAAATTTTCGACAAAATTTTAAATTATCATATATTTTATTTCCTACAAATCATCACCTGCAGGTAAAAATTTATTTAAGATTAATCGCGTTTAGCTGTACTGGAAGGCTCCCATATATCGGCATTCTATGCAGGCAAATACCGATTAATAGGCGTTGAACCGTCGAGATCCATTGTGTGAAAAGCCGATTAATAGCCCACCATGCCACGTTAATTATGATATCGACATCGGAAAATCAGATTTACCAATGATGCAGCTAAACTGGGAATAATGTCTCTTCTTCCTAAAACATCCAAACAAAAATTCAACAGAATTGTAAAATTCTAAAATTCTTGATTTGAACATTGATCGATAATTAAAACGAGAAGATATTTCTTATTTTCTCTTATCTCTCGTTTGATCTATTCTCACGTTTCTTTTTTTTTTTTCTTTCTTTCTTTTCTGGAATGTTTCAGGAGGAATTCCGTCGATTCATCAATCAATTAGAAGTTTTGAAAGAAAAGAATGTTCTGCTCGGTAATCACCATTTGGTGAACAAACTCGCAGCCATGCAGGAAGCCGCGAATCGAGCCGAAACGCAGGTATCCACGATCCAGGCGATTTCCTCCAGTATGAGACTGAACGATCTTAATGGATCTACAACAATCGCCGAAACGGATGTTGGAGGTTCCTTGAAAGGCGACAGAAAAGGTAATAATTTATTACAAACGTAATTTTAATTTTCACGACAAAAAAATTATTATTATATAAATCATGAACCGAACGAATCGAACCTAACCTCAAAATCTCACTGAACCATATATTATAATATACATATTATAATATACACTCAAATCACTCACCAATTGTCTATGCACCAATTAAATTCTCACAAATTTTCCTTTCACAAAGAAGCAATCGCGCCACTCGATGTTTTTCCGTTCAATTAACGAAAATCTTCAAGCGAATCGCGCACATGACGTATGGATGAACGAACGTATGTCTAGGTGGGGAAGTGAAAGGGGAGAAGAAATGCGAGGCCTGCGTGGAAAAGAACGGAATCAGAGGCGTGGATCAAGGCTCGTCCAAAGAAAGAGAGGCCCTTGTTTCCGTCGAGATGAAGAAACCAATGAGAACCAACGACGTTGCTGTCTCAACTTCTGGTAGGCCCGCCACGGAGGATATCGGAACGGAGACGAAACACGAGGAGAAAAAAAGCGAGGTTAGGGAACGAGACAAAAGCAAGAGTAAATCCGGTCATGCGAGAACGCATGCTATAGTCATCAATCTAGACGATAAAAGCAGATTCTCTGAAGAAGTCACCGTGTAAAGGATTGGATTATTGTTATTTCTGTGAATCGTGAACTCAGTGAAAGTCTTTTTCTCTTCAGTTATCTTTGAATATAAAGAAATTTGAAATCGAATGACTCGAACGAAAATTTTGTTTTAGAGTGTAAGTGCGTAAAGCTAAAGAATTTTCGTGCTGATGTGTTCGTGTTTCATTTCGATCCCGTTTCGATCGTGTTTTCTTTTATTGCTGTTTTTATAAAAATATATTTTGTTGATTAAAAATTGAAGTGGAAATGAGATTCAATTCGATGGAAGTAATTGCAGTGAAATATCGATACGAGAAAAATTTTCTAGGATTTAATTTTTTTCATTTTCACGTTATAACTTTTTCTTTTCCTTTCTTTTTCTTTTTCTTAGCTCTTTATTTTGAAAAAGATAATTTCCTTCGTAAGTTTTAATCTAAAGATATCGTGATAGAATGTTTCATTTCTTTTTATTAAATTTGATTCTGATATTGCATTAATGTTCCATGAAGAACATTTATCTTTTCTTTCGTTTAATTTTTTAGCGATAAAAAATTAGATAAAAAATACAAATTTCAAGTAGACTCTTCAATTTTATTGAGCTGCATTTACATCACAGGCAATTTTTGATTGAATAACCGAATCACTTCATTCGCATAGTGTCCAATTAAATTGAAATTCTTCAACTCGAATTATTGATCGATCTGATTTTTCAAAAAGTTATCTAATACGAACGTGACTTTGTATTAATTAAAACAGAAAAAAATATAATTCCATTTAATAATTTATTTTTTCAATTAAAACAAACAACATTAAGTTGAAATTTTCTTTGTTTAAAATTCATAAAAAGAAAGAAAATAATTAAATTTTTTTTTCTTTTCTTTCCCAAACTAACTTTTCCATTTTAAATTTAAAATTTTCTCTTGAATTAAACAAGAGTTTTAACCTCTATTTCGTACGACATTGAAACAAGTTTAACAAACGTGCGAACTTTGTAAATACGTATAAGTTAACGAACTGTGTGTGAGCATGAATATTTTAACGAACGTTTTAATTATTTAGTGCGTTAAAAGAAAATTGTGACGTGAATGACAAGCGACGTGAAAAAAAAAAGGAAAGTGAAAAAACTATGTGTTTCATCAGTAAATTGAACTTTACCTCGAACGAAATAAAAAAGTCAGAAAGAAAGAACGTGGAGATAAATTCTAATAAATTTGAGTCGATTATATGCAAAAGCAATCGCCTTTCCTTCGAAGCTTGCAGCGAGGGAATACTTGAAAGAAAATAGAACTGGAATGAGAATTATTTAGGAGATTTCTTGCTAGACACGATTTTATTTTCATTTTTTAAAGAAAAATGCGAGGAGTGGCCAGTTTTCGAAAACGTGGAATCGTAAATATGTTTGTTGGACGTCTGCCGTGCGAAAGTTTTTGATTTTTTCGGATTTAATTCACGAAAAAACAATGAGATGTTTCCAAAAATAGTGAAAAGAATACTGGAAAGAATATACGTGCTGGAACGAAAAAATTTTCGAGAATACATTTCTTTCTGTCATCGATAATTTGGATAAAATTTAATTTTGGAAATTTTAAAATAATCGAGTTATTTTTGAAAATTACTTATAAAAAGGTATCATTCTCTGATCTTTTGATCTTTTAATATATTATCAATGTCACATTGTTGAAGATTTTATTTGCAATCGTTGTTCATTAAGAAATTATCAACAAAAGCTTTTTTTCGAAACAGTTTAGGTTAGTTTTGATCAAGTTTATAATTAATGGCCAGATTAAGATTAAAAATAGTCCAATTAAATTGACCAACAGTTAAATGAGTTTTTAATTTGATTTTAAAGTAAAATTAACATAAATTAATTTGATGTTAAACAAAAATATGTTTAATTTCTTCATAGCTGAGTTTGAATTAATAACTTTTTAATAGATCTAATCTAACCTAACTTAAACTGTTTTTGTTAACAGCTTTTTTAATAAACCAACATATAAAACTTTCACAATAATATTTACAATCAGTGTGATGATCTTGACAAGTAAAAAATTATAGAGATCGGAAGATGTTATTTTTGTTGTAAATATTTATCCAAAATTATCTCTTATACTATTCATTTATTTTAATTATAATTAGAATACGAAAGATGATGAATTGCACAATGAATGAAATAATATATTTAATAGACATGTTAAATTTTTTCGGACAAAACAGCTTAATTTTATTTGATCGATGAATATTTCTATTTACTTTTTACGAAGAAAATTTTCTGTATTCCATCTTCGAGTCAATTTTATGATGATTTTCGAGATTTTCCGTGTTTATTTATTTATTTTACCGAACACACATGGAATTTTATTTGGGATACGCTGAGAAATTCCGGCACGAAAGTGATGAATCGAACCTCGCGAACAAGCTTTCTACAAATATCGTTGTAGCCGCTTATCCGAAGTCTTCTGCCGTAAGAATTAAGTCGATTTGTAAATAAAATTACTAATATACAAAAAGAATTAATTACGAAATACACACGGAACCGTTCCAAATATGCAAATGATCGCATACGTATATAATTATAATGTAAAATCGACGAAAAGTTTGAAAGCAATCGATACATTTAATATTTCTCAATAAATTTTATATTTTTCTTTATAAAACTTGCAATAAATAACCGTAAATAAATCAAACAATACCGAAAATTTAAGAAATTAAAATTTTATGAAATAATCTTTTATTTATTTATCATATAAGATAAATATTCAACCAAATATCATTATCCGTATGTTATTTCTTTTATCGAGCGAAATTATTTTATACAAATTTGTATAAAAATTTAGAAGGAGATACATTTACAAAAAAATTCGTTTCCAAGCTTTTCGTCGATTTCGTTCGGTGGATCACGATCAAAACACCACGAGTTGTAAATCGAGAAAACTGATCCACCTGCATTTTGTTTCTCTTTCTCTTCTCATATCAAGCCGAACGATTGTAAATACGTTTGTAAATAAATACGCGCCAAAAACGAGTTTGCCACTAGATTAAATCGCGATCGATTTTCATTGTTACGAGATCGCGAGATTTAGCTAATTATCGAAATCGTTAAATTGTAATCACGTGATAAAAATGAAAATTTTTCAAGCGAAAAAAGATAGTATAGAAAAAAGATAACGAGGTTAGGAGGAGAATTATCGATCCGAGTTCAACTGTTCGTGGAAATATTTTCTTATTCTTCGAGTTCTGTTATTTCGATGAAAAGATAAATTCTGGACAATAGTATGTTTCGAATAAATTACTTTCTATCTAGGGACTTTTTTCGCGCATTATTTTTCGCCATAACTGGATTTCACCTGGAAATTAAAATTTAATTTTAGCAAAGCGATACGTGAATTATTTTTACGTGAAATAAATAAAATTCTTGTTGTTTAATTATTTGTGTTTATTTTTCCAAAGAAATAGATTCCTTCGACGATTGGATAGAATTGTTGTCCCTTAATTATTTATGTATCAATTTATCGATACATAAAAAAATATTTATATAATTAGTTATTGAATTAAAAATATATTAATTTTTCAAATATCTTTAATATTTCATTTAACGTTTTGTTTAATTATCATTATACAAAAGAATATAATTCTATAAAAAAAATTAATAAAAATTTAATAATAATAAAATGGAACAAATTCTATTAACATGTTATCCTAACAATTTCAAATGGCAATTTGGTTTATGAATTATATCTGGTTTGATACCACGTAATGAAACTCTGATCCTCTTCACGATAACAGTAATTTAATTGATTTCCTATCTTCCAAAATCGAAGCATTAATTTGTTCGAGTCGTATCGATTAAACGTCACTTCGATATGCGAAGCTTCATCAGTGAAATTTCCTTTGAAACCATCCGTGGTACATCCTATATAGTTTCGTTATCTCGTCAGGATATTGCTTCTCTGACTCGCCATTGTAGTTCCCGCCGTTTCTCGAAACTCAATACGTCCGTTTCGCTTCATTTTACGTGCTCTCATCTCGTTTAATCGAAAAGAAATTTGCTTGAAATTTTCTTCCCCCAATTCGTTGAACGTGAAACAGATCTATAAATTTAAAAAAAAAAAATTATTATATACTTTACTTATTATTTATATTTATATACTTTTACTTATTATTATATACTTAATGATATTTTATAGTGATCCCTAGATTAATACTTTTTACCAGATAGCGCTTAATATTTCCTTATCAATATAAATATTTCTTTATCGATAACAACTCTTCTTATTATTATTTTTTAATCCTTACTTCGATCTATCACGCAAATATAAATCTTTTTCTCAATTGTTCGCCAATTATTATTTTACTCGAAAAAAGATAAGATTGTGATAATTCGAATAATACTAATGATTTCTTCGTTTAGTTGGATTTAAATTAAGTTGTAAACTGTTACTCGGATCGGTAAACTCTATTTGGAGTGACGATTAATCGCCACGATGATTAAACTAATCGCGACAAGGGTCTAGGCACTTTTCCGGGTTGCACGTGCTGTCTGCGCCGCGAGACGATGATTGATCACCGCCACGATAGTTGGTTATTGGGCCATCGTCGATCACAATCGTCAGGCGACTTCGACACGGCCGTTCATCGACGCCACTCTGACACGAGACTCTACTTATCACGTAAACCTTTTAATTATGCATATCGGTCCATGACATCGATCCTTTTGGGAGATGAAAACCCCTAATAGAGATTATATAAATCGAACGAATTTTGAGGTTAAAATTCGTGTAATCAATAGATAAAGAAATGATTATTTCGATCGAGTTTATATTTTGTAGATGTTTATTATATTTGTATTCTGAAGAAAATCGTAATTCGAAAGAAAAATTTTCGAGAAGTGGAAAATTTTTATCTGGAATAAGATTCAGTTTCAATAAAAAATATTGAGATTTAAATTGACGAGATGAGTTCGATCGAAGAGTCACAAAAATACCCAAGTCTTAATTCTTTCAATTTGTCCCAACAAATTCTTTTTTCGTGAGATCGAATCTCTCAGTTGTTTTTTCTCCCAAAGGATGTGAAAGGATCATGTAATTCCTATGATAAGAAACACCGTAGATATAATCGAATATCAGCAATATCGCTTTCTTGATTAAATCAACGCGACATTGTACTAAACGAATTGTTTGGACAAGAAAAAAAAAAAAGAACAACCTCTGTACATAATTAAATGTCAAGTGGAGGAGGAAATCTGCCTTGTGTCATAACCTTTCCCTTTTTCTTTATAATATATACTTTTACGTTTAATATTAGAAATTTATTGTGTATTATATATTTTTTATAATTTTCTTTTTTTTATCTTCGAATGATGAAGATTCCTATTGCACACGATAATTGATCCATGATCACTGAATCATGTATACGATAGATAAATAAATTAAGTTTGATTTATGGTTTTGTAATGATATATTTTAATAATAGAGAAAATTCATAAACCTATAAAAACTCTATTTACATTTGAATTAGTTTTATTTTATTTTTAACCAAACTTAAGTTAAATTATGCTTGGATTAAATTAGGATTATATTCGAATAATTTTCGAAGGAAGTATATCTAAACTAGATCCGCGTTAAATTTAAGTTATATACATCATTTTACGCAATTAACTTCCATAATTCGATTCGTGTTTAATTTGAATCAAATTTAAGTTAGATTTGGATCATATGTAGAATTTCTTTTGATTAAGTAACGTTCGATAGTGCATTATATACTTATATTATAAACATGTTCTAAATACTCGAATTAAGATTACATTAATAAATACAGATTAAACCGCTATTAAATTTAAATTAAATTCCAATCATCTTTTCCAGATCCAAATCCAGATTCAGAAACTGACACAGTCCTAACTTATCCTACATTAATCATAATGTAATTCGTTTAATTATTCTTGTTACTTAAAATACTCAATATATATATATATATATATATATCGAGTGAAACGAAAATCGATGAAGAAATTCTTATTACAATAATAATTGTACAAACTTTCTCGAAGTAATTATGGTATTCATTAAAGTCAGTAAAGCGTAAGCACATCGTGGAAAGGTCTTAATGATATCGAACGTTATAGAAGTTCAACGATTTCGTCCCACTTTCACGGGGGAGGGAGAGGGGGAACATAAATTATAAATTATTAAACAACTTTTAAAGCGCCTCCAACGTTTTCGAAATTGTTTAAATTTTATTCCAATCGCCTTCCAGCCACCAAGCCTTTATTATTAATATCACTCTGCAATTCCGCCATTCCAACCTTTTTTTTTTTTTTCGTTCTTAACTTTCCTTTCCTTTCCACCCTTCTCGGAGTTAAGATCCCGCTTAATCCCTCGGATCCGTCTCGATTCTTTTGCGAACAAAGGAAAGCGACGGTTGAAAGAAAAAAAGAAAAAGAAAAAGAAAAAAGCATTCGTGCATCCCGTCCATTTGCGAAGGAATTCCATCGTTATCGCGCTTTTTACTCGCAGTTGTATCAAACCTGTTTCCCGCCTCGCGACAGTTTCCAAAGTTTTTCGAGTCCTTCCATTCGAGAAACGCTTTCGAAGTGAAAGGAACGCGCTCGAAGAACGAATTTATTCCACTCGGCAATCATTATCGTTTTTCGAGAATTATTATGTAATTTCGAGAACAACGCTTTTTTATTTTCCAATATCCTCTTACAAAAATTGATTGTCATTTTATAAGACAAGTAAGTTCTCTGTAAATGTGTTTTTCGATCGAAATAAAAACGGATAAAATTAATTTATTTTCTTCTTTATGAAAAAAAAAAAAAAAAAAAAAAAGAGAGAGAAATATTCATCGTGCTTTGGATTTTTATGCTCTCGATCCAGCAAAGACAATCCAGCATTACATCCGTTCGATGTTGAGCAACGTTATTAAACTTGGAATATAGCGGGAACAGGGGCCAACAAGCGAACTATCGATACATCCTGATTAATATCGCATTTAGCTTATCGAGAGGCATCATGCCGCCATTACAGGTTGCATTAAAATTGATTATGCAAACTGGAGGTGCGTTTCCGGCGCTGATTCAATAAACAGGGGAATCTATACGTTGTTAGCACGATGTGGAATTAAACGGGAGAGATGTTTCACCTCTTCGTCTAGTTCGAATGATCGATTAATATTCGATTCGATGTGATTGTAAAGATACGATGATTCCAAGATTTCGACGTTAAAAATAATATCTATAGCCATCCATCCACTCAATCTTATTCCAAAGATCATTATAAAATTTGTAACGTGCATATTCTTAATTCAGTTAATTCGCGTTAATTAAAAATTATTTTTTATTTTATTATTATAAATAAGGAGAATGACCAAAATTATTAAGAAGATTTTTCGATGTCGTAGACAAAGATCGCTTTGTCTCTGCTTGCGCAATAAGACGGCCAAAGGAGTTTATGGGGAGTTTGTAGACACAGAGAGCTTGCAATTAGTACTTCCGATATTCTCGTCCATCACCCCTCAATCGCTATTGGGTTCTCGACCAATCACCGATCGTTCGCGTACAAACGCGTTTGTATCGTGAAATTAGTGGAAATTAGTCGTTTGACATATAGGTGGAATAGAGGTTACGTGTCGACGATGCAACATTTTCAAAGGATTTTCGTATCTTTGATATTGATACGCGCGTCGAGCTCGTATAATTGGATAAAATGTGAGGAAACATTGGATAAAAGTTCGAGAAACATGGAGTTTTAAATTGAAAGGTTGATAGAGATGTATCAAAGGAATATTTTTTCTCCAGTGAACATACGTCCGATCTAGATCCGTTCCCTAGCTATAAAGGATCGAAATTGTGAAAGTTAGGCGCCTGATAGCGAGCAACCCGCCCGGTGCGTGCTGCAGTGCAATAGAGATGGAGAATAAAGATTACCCCTTACCTTACGTAACGAATGAATTAATTCACTCTTACCAATCTTACCAGCTAGTATCTCGCCGCTAATTAGCCTCTCGTTATCTACATCGTTTAACACGTACGTAATTGAAATTTATTCTTGTACAGTGTATGTAAAATTTATAATTATTTAACGATGATTTAACTTTTTCTTTTTTTTTTTCTTTGCTCACAATGGAGATATATGAACAATAATTAAAAATAACGAATACGCGAATTAACCAAGCTCCCTCTCCTCAGAGAGAAGAGATCGTGTTCTCACAAATTTTATCGCGTATAATCCACTATCCGGTTGGAAGTGGAATCGGTCAGACGACAACAGGGCCAATTATCCGAATCGAGCTTGACTCGGTCGATAAGAAGAGATTCGAGCTTCATCAATTCGTAAACTTTTCAATCCAATCAATTGTTCCAACATTGTGTCTCGAGTATAGCGACACGTTCAAGATTGAGATGGGGTATGAATACACATTCGAGACGGGAATCTGAGGACATTTACGGCGCATTGGAAAATTTTTAATGCCCTCTGAATAGGGTTCGAGGAGGGGAGTTATTCTCGCCGATTATAGCGCGTATCTCCGTCACGTCTTCCAAGAGAGTGGAAAGCGTGTCGTACACGATGAGACCGCAATTTACGATGCGGAAGGGGGATAAAGAAGCTTTTAAAAAGTGGTCCTTAGCGTAAAATCAATACAGGAGGAGGGGGGTCGGTCACGGCTCGAACAAGGGTTCGTATCGACGCTTTTTTTGTTCAACGATCATGCACCTTGCGCGGACTATTGTTCGTTCCCCTCACCCTGCGAAACCACTGGAGTCTCTAAAGGGAAATTAATCGTTCCTCGTTCTCGAATCACTTGCCCCAACTTTGGGACCGTTCATCGAGGAATGCGTCGCAGGGATTTAAATTGGAAGTTCTTTGCTAAATTGGGAGTCAGAAGATTGTATAAAAATTTTCGCCCTTTCGAAGGGGAATTTTTCAAATTCTGAAAGTTTTCCGAATGAATTGGGAAATCGAGGAATTTTTGGAATTTTAGAGCTTGAGAAATTTGGGAAATTTAGGATTTTAGTTGGAAAGTTTCTTTAAATTTTCAAATCTCTCTAATTTTCTATTTTTTTCTCTTTTTCTTTATTCTTCCAATCCTATTGTTATCCTATATAATTGTCTAGTTTTCGAATTTTGAAATATATATTTGAAATCTTTCGTTGCATCAATTTTTCCCAAGAATCTTTGAATGTTTCAATTTCCAAATTTTCAATTTTTTGATTAAAAAGAACTTTTTTTAAAATCTGAATTTTTCAAATCGTTAAACTCGATCTTTAAATATGTAATTTAAAAAAAAAAAAAACAAATATCCCAAAATCCTTTGAAATTTATCCAAAACCGATCCAAAATCTACGTGCAAATCATTTGTTCACATAAAAGGAAAAAAAATATTAATAATAAAATAAAATAAAAGTTTGATGTCCCATATCTGCGTACATCCCCTTTAGCCAGTTCAGTCTCGATCCCTTGCATCAACTTACTTCAAGGATGGTCCTTTCAGGCCAGGTAAAAAAGAAGTATTCACGACTAATGGATACTGCTGTCGGAACTTTTTTCATATTTATAAAGTGATTACCCACTTTCCAAGTTCGTCGAGGGATGAGTGAGCCAAGTGAGGGAGCTTACAGTTTCGGTTAAAGGTTTTGGATCTCTATAAAGGAAAAAAAAAAAAAAAAAGAAAAAAGAAAAAAAAAGAGAAAAAAAATGATGCGCAAGAATTTGTTGGTAGTTTTGTTGTTGTGTGTTGTTGGATACGAACAAGAAGGGGAGGGGAAGTAAAGCGATTGAAAGTTTGGGATTAAAAAATTCGTACTAAAAATTGCTTTGGAATAATGATTTTTTTTTCTAGGAGATATTTATATCACTGTGAATCGAATAAGTGGCTCAGTCGTTCATGAAAGATCATAAAAATATTTGAGATCAAGTTTTATAATTATTTACATTTTTTTGATGAAAAAGAATTTTTTACATTATATGGATGATTACGTGTTAAAATAATATTCATTTTTCAAACGTGTTAAAAAAACAAGGATATTAATACAATGGACAGTAATAAATTTTTCCAAGATAAAATATTTCTCTTAAAAAATTGTGAATAAAAAAAATACGTGGAAAAATATATAATATTGACATTATTATTTTTTTTTATAAAATAAATTATTTTGAAAAGCAAGAATTTTCATATAGTGATATAAAATTGATATGTGAAAGAATGCGTTGTTTGTTGGATAAATAAAATGTTTTATCCAGTTTTTCCGAGGGTATATTTTTTTATATATATCTCTGTGATTTTTATATGTATAAAATGATATATTTGTTTGCAATGTTTCATTATCACAAAAATCGTGTCCTTTGCACGAATTTGAACGTGAGGAATTAATTTCAAACAAACATTTTAAACAAATAAATATCTGTTTTTTCGAAATGGGCACATTACGCATATTTATTATAAAAAAATTAACATTCCGCTTTATATGCATATTGGACATAAAGTCAAATTTATTTTATTTTCAATTCAAAGTTAGGAAACGTATACTTTATCTTTTACAAATTTTCTTTCATCATTATTTTTTAAAAATATAATTAATCAATGAATGCAAGCATTGAATTTGTTACATAAAACAAATAGCATATTAGTATTTTAATCTATAACAATTGATCAATATTACATTGAAATATTCAAGCTCTTATAATTTCTTAAGACTCAATATGATGTCTAGTTCCAAACAAAATTTTTCATTTCAAAGCACAAAATATGAAACACTTTTATACATACTTCTTCAACACCTACTAATCTTTAAAGTATTTTAAACCTTTTTTCAACAATTAAATAAAAAACTTACAAAACTCCTTATATCAAATTTGAAGCTATAATCACAATTCATAATATCTTCCACAAATACATATTACATCCCCATAAATACAATATAACCTACAACAAATCTCAAAAACTTTTATCCTCTATATTTATTTTACATTTAAAATAAAAAGAAATATCAAAACTTAAAATATGCAATATGAAACATTGTATTCCTATCATCCCATTCACGAACGAATCACAATATTTTCCAACGTTTCAAGAAAAATAAATCTACGATATCCATGGTATCTCAAAAACAAAACTTTCTTCCCAGAATAAATAATACATCCATTGTGACCAATCCACTGTAAGAATCTATCTCATAAAGAAATAAATCCTTCAAAAGTTAAAGATCCTCTTATCCGTCAGATTGTCAGAAAAAAAGAAAGAAAGAAAAAAAAATACGACACATGAAACAGATTGAATTAATTCGTGGTCGTTAAAGGTTCGCGACGAACTGTTTCTTGTTGGCATTTTGCCAACTTTTCGGATTCGGATTTCGATTCCACGCGACTTCGACGCGTACCTGTTCGCGAACCGTGTCGATTAATTTGTCCGGCCGGATCTCACGGACAAATTACAGGAAGCTGAGTAGCCATCGATCCCGTGTACCGAATGTGTCGAAGCAAATAGAGCGATTTGTTCTTCCTAGATGGGCTCGTAATTGAAAACCATCTTGCGGCAGACACGTCTCTCGTAAATGGGCCACGTAAGTTTCGCAAGAAAACGATTCGTTTGCACGAGAGAGGTAGAGAGAGAGAGAGAGAGAGAGATTTATACAAATGGGACACGATGAAAATTTGTCTTTGAGAGATTTGATTTGGCTCTTTCTTTTTAATTTTCTCTTCTTCGATTTGAATTTCCCGCCATTGAAGACGCGAATGAAGCCTGGAATGGAGAAAAGCTAGAGACGATAGAAGTGATATAGTAAACGAGCAATGGAGGATTATGACGGTGATGAAGAAATTGTTTACAGATTTGTGAAGTAATTCGTGTTTCGAACTTTTTTTTTTTTTGGAAAAAAAGATGGAAGGATGAAAAGTAATGAAAGTTAATTTTAAATTTCGCGATATTGAAAATGAATATTCTAGAGAGAGGCGAGAATTGGGTATTAAGAAATTATTCAGATTTGCGAAGTAATTTATGTTTTTTAATTTTTTTTAAACGATGAAAATGAATAATGAAAATTAATTTTAAATTTCGCGACACTGAAAGAGAATATTCTAGAGAGAAAGAGAGAGAGAGAGAGAAGCGAGAATATAGTGGAAGGAATTAAGAAATTATTCAGATTTACGAGATAATTTATATTTTAAATTTTTTTAAAATGATGGAAAGGGGAAAATGAATAGTGAGTTAATTTTACATGCCACTAAAGATAAATAGAGAGAAGTTGGAGATGAGAAAGTAATAAATATTTAATGTCGTGATAGATATTTTCGAAATAATTTATCTTTTATAAAATTAATATCAAAAATATCTTTTGAATTTTAATTTTGAATTTCTTTTACTAAAATAAAGGATATAAAGGATCTTGTAATTAGGACGGATTAACAATTCCATACGTACAAAGAGTATTAACAAAATATTGAAATACTCGAATCGCATGAAAAATGATATAAAAAAGAGAAACGAATATCAAAGATTTATTTGAGAGTAAAATCTATCACAAAGAGTATAAAAGAATTCTAATTAGGATCGACGTTTATCCCTGTAATAGATATTATAAAAAAAAAAGGATCATTAAAATTTAATAATAGTAGTAATCGATAAAAATTATATTTTCGAATATTGAAATAAAAAATAAACATAAGATTCCTTTTTTAATTGAGATTGACAGATGATCGATTACACCTCTATAAAATATTAACGAGAAGAGATATCTATTTAAAATCGAAAAAATTATTAAATTACACGGTTGAGAACGAACGAGAATCAATTTTATTCGAATATGTAAATTAAACGTCATTTTAAAAGTAATTAAAATTTTATTCATAAATCATTAAATCAATCATTGCGAAATATTCTCCGTTTTATCGCATTTTAAATCCTATAGACCAAACACGAAGCGCGGAAAATATTTAAATTTTGCAATAAAAAAAGTGAATCTAAATGACAGAGAATCAAATTACAGTGTTCCTAAATAGAATAAAAGTCAACGGAAGAGCGTAAAGGATTTCACAACTGGGGCGTATAAACGGTTCCACTCTCAATTAATCAACTATGAAAAGGACACTTGATGGATCGGGGAAAGGGAGGAAGAGAAGGTTAATGTAACTGCGTTAATTACACCATCGTTTCCCACGCAATCCCCGCTAATTAGAAACGTAACGAAAGGGTAAAGTCTCAGTGTGACATTGGTTCGATTTTCTACAACATTATTTCCATTTCATTCAATCATTACTTATCACAATTATTTATCAATCATTACTTACACGGGTGTATAATTGTCGTTCACGTCGAGCAATCCTTCTCCCCTTTGTGATTTATCGCGTAACAATAATTTTAATTCCCCGTGAATAAATTCGATTACCTGTCACGAAGTTCTACAAACCCTTATTAAACGTTCCATTAATCACCATCGGGATCGCGTACGCAATTTATCCTGTCATTCGATTATTTGTGCATCCGGAAATCGCGTTGTCAATAGTTGTGCTAGTTTCGAGATAAGCAATGGTTTATTCGATACTTGGAAACGTCCTCACAGTTAATTTAGTAGAACTTTGTTTTTCGCAAATAATATCGGTTAAATTATCATTGCTTTAATATACTGCGTATTTATTGAAATATTACTCTCTCTGGTGCAAAGGACGATAAGAATCATAAATGACAGACTATAAGCTTTTCCAAATGCAAATGATAATCTGTTCTAGTAGAAATCCGTTACTCTGCTGTTATTATGTATTAAATAATACTCAAATGTATTTACTTACGACTAGCATTAACGATAAGAGAGGTTAGGAAGATTTCAAATCTCTACCAATTATACACGATATTTCGAATACAATCATTCAGTGAAAATAAATTGCGACTTACCTCAAATATGAATATGGATAATTGCAGAAATGTTAATAAATAGTACACAACGATTCCAAATAATAAAACATGGCTCAAATATTCACTGGTGAAAAGAAGTCACGAGGGACGGTACAGAGACAAGAGGGATCTTTCGTCTATCCCCACTCTAATACCATACACTACATAATAATAGAAGAGCTATAATTGAACAGTGAGAATTATTTACGAAGTTACATTAGGATAGTGATCTAAGATTGGAAGTTGAAATATTTTCGAAGCTATTAATTATTTTTAGTTTATATACATATAATTATTATTTTAACTATTTCAATGTGAGATTATATTTATAAATTAAACTATCGTTACAAATCGTAATTAGCCTACACATATTGATGAGAAATAAAAGGTTAGAATTCTACGCTGATACATCGAAAGTTTAAGTACAAATTATTAAAATAAATAAAGTGAGTATATATATATATCAACCAACATCAAAAACCAACATTTAAAACATTAAATAAAACATTTCTTTCAATCGACATATATGTTTCACATATACTCTTTCCCAAAGAGGTTAATTATTTTTATTTTCATTTTCCATTCTCATTATTGCCATTCTTTATCGCAATTTTTAATATATATGATAAACTTTGGGAGAAACAAAAATAAGAGTGAATATAAGTGTTTTCTTTCCATACTTTAACCAATCAAATCCGCATTCCTTTCATCAGTGAACAGTAAATTATTAATTCGATAATCAATATAACTCAAGTGTATCTTTAGACAAGAATTTGGATAATGAATGATGGCAAAGAATCATCAAGTTTAAATTTGGATATTAATTAGTCAGGGATATGTAGTTTAAGTTAAATTCCAAATCATCACACGTGTTTTGAAATGGTCCAAAAAATCAATAGATTCTATATATCCTCAAATACATATATCCATCTAACTAACATTGTTATGATCATTAACCAGGGATCTAACCAGTTTAAATTGGTAAGTAGTTCGAAACTATCACTAATATACGATGTACATCCATTCTAATTGTGACTGATATAACCCAACTTTGATAATCAAACAAGACAACCAGTATAGTTCCTATGCTGCCTTTGTGGCATCAAGTTTAATTATAAAATAGATAACAGTTCAAATTCAAACTTTTTAATATTTACCATGATATCATTCGTCTTCATTAAAGTCACTTCCGCGTCTCTAATTGTCCACTGACCTAATTTCTTCAAAGAAGATTTTAAAACTTTCCAAAACTTTTTTTCTCTAAAAAAATACAGATTATTTTTTTATGAAACTGTTAATAATCAGTTTGTGACAATCATCGTAAAATTATCGAGAAAAGATTATTATTATTCGAAAAATTGTTTAATTTAAAATTAGATTCGTCCAATGTTAAAAATTTTAAAAACAATGTTCATGTTGCAGCCATAAGAACAAAATGGATGGAAAGTTCCTGATTCGAACTCATACAATTTTTAGAGGAATAATTTTGTAGCAGTGATATTGACGTTCAACATGGTAAGCATATATATATATATTGCCCTTAAATAATTATTACACCCCATATATCAAATAGAATTAATTAATAATATTAAAATTATATTATTAATTATTAAATTAATAAATTAATATATTCTATCAAGTAAAATGAAGAATACATGAATAAATTTATTCAATCAAACGAAACGAGGGTATAAATTAATTTGTTCTAATTAAATACACTGAATTGCGTTCTGCATTTTCATTAATTATAAAACATCTATTTTATCTCTTAATTTATTTATCCTCGATTCGATTTAATCATATATAATAATTTTACATAATATATATATATAATAATAATAATAACTTTATATAAAATTCTCTTTCCAGTCCTTTCGAACAAAATTGAAATGAAAAACTTTAAAAAAAGCTACATCTAGTCCGCAACTAAGAGACCAATCAATTCGTAAATAAAACAAAATGGTACTCGTTACTTTAAAAAAATGCAAAACCGATAAAAACTCTGGATCGATTTATCGATAGAAAATTTTCCGAAATAAGAGAATTTCGATTGGAAATTTTGATCAAAGGATGGTGTGCTCGAGCAGAATCGTCGAATTAATAAACTTGAACATAATGATGCTTGGACATTGTTCAAAGACGAAAGAAAACGGATGATGAAAAATTCATATACTTTGCCACGGTGTATAGTGCAAAGAGCAGTTGAACAGTTTCCACCGTTTCTCGCATGCAAATCCGATTCCACGAATTCAGACCTGGTCTTCTGACGCTTCTGGTGGCAACTATGCGGTCGAAATTACTATTAAAGAGCACGTCGAAGACACCGACAGCCGTTTTAACTCAATTAACTCAATGTTTTGAAAATTTTGATCCGATTGATAATTGATTGATTGAAACTTGTGCAGATTTGCTTGTTTGCATTGGAAATAATTTGGTGTATTGGATGTTATTAGAATAGATACATGATCATTGCTCGTATTTTTGCTTTAAAAAAAAAACCTTTTGAACTTCTGATGGGATATCGATAATTTAATATTAATATAAACGATAGTCTTATATTATTGATGAAAAAAATAAATAAATAAAATAAAAAATATGCAGAGTATCTAAATGTAATTTTGTGAAATTTATATTTCGAAGTATAAAGTATAAATTTAAATATTGCCTTGTGAAATAATATAATATGATACAAAATGATACAATGTTTTTATTTTTTTAATTTCAATTATTAAGAATGTTAAAAATTTGACAACTTGTAGAAACAGATAATCAGTTCGGATTATATATGACTAGATCATTTCGGGTTATTGTCTCGTATTCCGTGCAATTACCTTATCAACCATTAAAGTTTCAAGAGTCGTACGAAATGTAGTTACGAATTTTATTTTTAACGGCGTCGTAAATTTTTTTACAGGGATAATAAATTTCCATCCATGTCGTTAGGGCAACTCTACCATAAACCATCCTGTTCAACTTGCAACCTCACGTACAAAAAATATAAAGTTGGAATATTCTTTTTTTTTTTTACTCCTTCACTTTTTTTATTAAAAAAAAAAAAAAAAAAGAAAAGAAAAATGTTAATTGAAAAAATTATCTTCTGTTATCATTAAAAAAAAATATATAATACACATTTATAAATGAATTGTATATGTATTTTGTAAAATGATAAATAATTAAATTATAAAAAAGAAATTCAATCACTTCGTGTTACGTCAAAATTAAAAAATAAACAATAAAATTTTACAAACTTTATTTTCGTATTTTCAAAACTAGACATTCAGGAAAGGATTCAGGAATCTATTTATGTCGAACATCCTATATTACCTTCTTTATTGCCCATCAAAGTGTCGCAAATTTTATGAAATTCCCTGTTCGAGATTTATTTCTCGGTTATTTCGTATTAAAGTCGAAAATTCACGAAGACACGAGTTCAATCAGTTCGTCCAAACATTATTCATTGGCTAAAGAGAGACGAATATTTCCGTACGTTGACACATTGATTAACGACTAATCGATCGATTCAGAAGAACATCTATCGCCGATCGAGCGATCCACAGAAACGTTTCTCGTAATCTGGCTGACGCGTCATCATTTATTTCACTGAAAAGGTGCACCTGATGCATCTCTATCCCCCAAGACAAAAGATTCATCGATCACGTGACGATTGCTCCGCTTTTCCATAATTTTTAAAATCCTATTTCTTCGATTATTCATTGTTACAACTTGTTTTTTTTTTTTTTAAATTAGTATGAAAAAAAAATTCTCATTTTTTTTTATCCTTCGATATTTTTGACAAAATAAAATCTACAATAATTTTTAATTTCAGGAAATATGATCTTCCGTTATTTTTAAACTCTACGTAACAAGTTTAGAGAAAAGGAAAAGTAGATTTTCTTTTTTTTTAGATTTTACTAGATAAAATTCGTGTCATATCTCTGTAACCTCTCACGTATTCATTTTCATTTTTCTCTCTCTTTTTCTCTCTCTCTCTCTCTCTCTCTCCGTGTTTTCATTTATTCTAATTTTCCAACATTTGAAAAGGATATTCATTTAAATCTCCACGCAAAATCTCGTTGAAAAGATAAACTCAACTATTCTGTCCAAATTTCTTTCACCTGGCAATTGTTCCAAAATTCTCATTTCACATATAAATATTCGCGTAACGTTTCGATTTTTACATACTTGACCCGTTCTCGATGAATAAAATTACGAAAACCATAAAACAACAATGGATAAACAAATAGATAGAAACTTCGGTATATAGAACGTTACGTCCGAAGCGATTCTTTTCCCTCAAAGATTTCCAGATCTCGAAAAGTCAGAAGAGCTGAAAGTGTTTTCTAAGACAAAAAAATCGCAGAGGAGTTCTGCAACGAGCGAAGAGCGTCGCGAAACGAAATACGCGAGTCTGGATTGGGCGAAGAGACGAACGTGGCAGAGACTATTTCATGCGCCATTGCCCGATCCTATAATTCAGGAATAGCAGTTGTAAAAGAATCGTCCGTGTCATTTCCTTCCTTCTTCTTCGTGCCGGACAATTGTTCCCTCGTGTTTTGCTGGTAAATCGTCCGCCGCTAAACGCTTCGATAAAATCGCAGGAGAAAAGTGGAAATAAGTGTCGTGGTGAGCCACCTTTGAACTCGTCGTGCTTACTTTCACCTCGTAAACGTTCTCTTCTTCCCTCTTCTTCCCACCCCTACTCTCAGTCGATCGAACGAACTGATGGTTAATTAAGAAGTAAACAAAATTCCTTATCTCTTCGAGTTGAAGGCTATTCTTTAAATTTTAGTTAGTAAAATGATAATTCTAATTGATTGATCCTAGAGAGTGAAGAAAGAATTTGATATATATATTTATTGGAATTATAAAAATTGATTTTTAGAAAAATTCTCAGAAATATCGATTGATCTTTCGATTTTTATAAATTAGTTTGTCCACTATGCAGTAAATATTTGAGTCAAGGTACCTCGTGTTTTTATCACACCATTTATATCCAAATTGGTAAAAAAATGACACGTTTCGTAAACATCTATAAAATTTCTTCTTCCTCGGTCGATAAAATCCTTTTCAACACCATGTTTAAAAAAATTCTCAGAAATCGATCGGTCTTTGAATTTTTATAAACTAGCTTGTGCAGTAAATGCTTGACGAGTCAAAATACTTCGTTTTCCTTATCACACCATTCGCAGATTGAAAAAAAAAAATAAAAAATGACATGTTTTTCTATAAAATGCATTTCTTCTTCCTCGATCGATAAAATCCTTTTTAACACTATGTTTAGAAAAATTTTCAAAAATATTAATTGATCTTTGGATTTTTATAAACTTGTGCAGCAAATGTTCGATGAATCAAAATATCTCGCTTTTCTTATTACACCATTCGCAGATTGGTAATAAAAAGAAGTAAAAAATGATACGTTTTTCTATAAAATACATTTCTTATTCTTCCTCAATCGATAAAATCCTTTTTAACACTACGTTTAGAAAAATTTTCAAAAATATTAATTGATCTTTGGATTTTTATAAGCTTGTGCAGCAAATGCTTGACGAGTCAAAATATCTCGTTTTCCTTATCACACCATTCGCAGATTGGTAATAAAAAAAAATCAAAAATGACATATTTTTCTATAAAATGCATTTCTTCTTCCTCGATCGATAAAATCTTTTTTTTTAACACCATGCTTTAGCGCTATCCGACAAGGCAAGAACATTTCACACCGGGAAATTTTACGTAACCGAAGAAACTATACGTGAAACCTGTCGTCCAATTTACCACGCAACACTCAGCTCCGCTTTTCAGGTAACAAGCGGTTCATTCGTGACCGCAGTACGGATTCCTGTGAAGTATTGAAGGGCCAAAGAGGAATCGCTATGATAGAGATGGGCGTGGTAGCAAAGCGGAAATCCTTCTGGCTTTTATCTCGACATGACACGTGCCGAAATGTTTATTGATTATTTTGACGGAGGTCGATGGATTTTGTAATGTTTGTGCTCGATAATTAATAGCACAGTCTCGAGGTTAATCGAATGTTTAATACATCGTCTGCGTTGAGATCTATCGAACAGAGATTTATATTTGCTTTAGATTTAAATTGATTTAAAAGTCTTCGATTTGAATCCAGTTTTAATTGTGTTAATTCGAAAGTAATTTTAAATAATAAAAAAATAACGATTTTATTGAAAATAAATTTGTAATAATTAGAGATAGGAATATCTCGTTTGAAGTGAAATCAATTAGAAAAAAAAAGAGATTTTTTATTTTAAAAGAGATATATTAAAGATATATATTAAAGATATATTAAAGATATATATTATTTTAAAAAAGATAATTTAGACGAAAAAATTTATTTTTGTTCGAACGTGAAAGAAATCGTTGTTTTGCTTGAAGAGACGAGGCGACACGTGTCAGAATTCCAGAAATTTTAGGAATTGTTTCACGCTCTCGTGAATTTCGTCCATGTTAAACTAAGAATTGACCGGGATTGTCGTTCTACTTTGTGCAAATTTTATTTTACGCGTAATATTCCAAAATGTATTCTCGAATATTTGTTGAATCGTATTGTATTCTTTTTTTTCTTTTTTTTTTTTTGCGCGCGTTATTTTAAATTGAAAACAAAATTTCAGTTTCATTTCATAGAAATATAATGTCTAGAAACACGGAAATTTAATATTCAGAAGGATTATACAATCAAATCAGAAAGATATTCAACATCGTTCTATCTGATTTAAAAACAATAATATTTTTAGACATTCACGTTCTAGAATACGTTTCTAGAATCTAGTGTAATAAATATTGATGATTTCGTTTTAACTCCGCCTGAAATGAAGTACGAAGAAAATGGTGGATCGGATTTACCATAAATCGAACGTGTCGAGGACTTGGAATCCTTTTGCACAGAGTAGAATAGAGAACGTAGAAGAAAGGAAAAGAAATTTACCTGGCAGGTAAATTTAAAGAGGAAATACGGCAGCTTATACAATGTTTCCTTCTTTCTTCGTTGTTATTCGCGCCAATCTTTGTGAAATGTTTATTTCCGATGAAATCGAATATTGAATCATCGAGGACAATTGTTACTTTATTGGAAATAATTTCTGGATTAATTTCTTCTCAAAGTTCTTCTAAAAGTCTGGCAGCTTTTAATTAATTAAATTCGATAGCATAAATAAATAGCATGAATAAAACTTATTATTCGTTATTTTTTATTTCTACTGTGATCCATGTTTAATTAATTCTTAATTTATTTTCATATTTTTTTAATTTTCAACTCAAAATTTTTAGAAAAATAAATTATTAATTTATCATTCCTAATCCAAATTCTGCTCCGTCATCCAATTTTCTTCGCTTTCGCAAGAACAGGTTATAAACTTCCGTGACCTTTCAGTGTCGAGCATCCCATCTTATGGACAATCGCCAACAGCGACAGATCGATCCCATATTTTGTACTAAGATACGCCTCTATCCCACGCTGGACACTCCTCCAAGTATGTTGAGCTTCGTCCAGTATTGGCATTGCGCCATTGCCTCTTTCTCGACGTGGCATAGGTATTCATTGAAATACCTATGCCTGCTGAACACCTGTGTCACTTGACAGATGA